AAGGGATGGAAGGGCTTGTACTGATAGTGATGGGGAGGGTGTTTGGACAGCAGAAGAAAGGAGGGTTTGAAGAGAGGTAAGGAGAGTAAGTGAAGCTGATGGTCAATGTCTAAAATTACATATTACACCAACATAAAGACCTGAATTTCAGTGCTTCAAAATAGCCCAGTATAAGGGAATACTGGAATATAAAAATCAGCAATGCAATCACAACTCCCTCTTCCCTGACCTTCACTTAGAGTAGCCTCTAATTTGTGTTAATTCCATTTCAGAGACATGCCATTCCACCTAGAGCTGCTGCTTTCTGAAATATTCTTGGCACATGCCTTGGAAGACTCTGATTCTATTTTAAAAGGAAAGCCATGTGCCTGTATCATTTAAACACTGAAAACCGATTAATATTCCTGAAGCATAGCTCTGACCAGGTAGTTATTTAATATTTATTGAATATTTGCTATGCGCCAGGCATGAGGTTGTACATACATTATCTTATTTAACCTTCATAATAGCCCTTTGTAGTAGTAGGTACTATCATTAACCCCAAGAAGACATATAAAACACATACAGGTTATGAAGAAAGAAAGAAAACTCCTTATTTGCAAATGACAGTCGCCTACATGGAAAATTCCAAGGAATCTGTAAAAATATTGTGGAACTAAAACGTGATTATTTAGAAAGGCCACCAGGTACAGAGTCAACAGAAAAAAATCAATTGTATTTCTAGGTACTGGTAGTTGTCACATGAAAACTTAATTGTATAACACATTTATAATGGCTACCCCAAAATTAAATGTTCAGATATGTCTACAAAAACAGGTATATGATCTGTATGCTTAAAACTACAAATGCTCATGAAATAAATCAAAGAAGACCTAAACAAATGGGGAGATATACTGTGTTCATGGATTGGGAAATTCAGCATAGTAAATGATGTCAATTTTGCCTAAATTGATCTGTAGGTTTAATATAATTTTAATATCCCAACAGAGCTTTTTGTAGATATAAACTGATCCTAAGATTTATTCTGAATAGCAAAGGAACTAGAATGGCTAAAAGAATTTTGAAGACAACCAAAGTTTGAGGAATCATATTACCCTATTTTCAGATTTACTATTAAAACTACTATATCCAATATAATGTGATATTGGCAAAGGTACAGACCCATAGATTAAAGAGTCCAGAAATAGACTCACACAATTATGGCCAATTGATTTTTTTTTTTTTTTACAAAAGTGCAGGAGCAGTTAAATGAAGAAAGAATAGTCTTTCCAAAAACTGATGTCAGAACAATTGGATATCTACATTCCCCTCTCATACCCCTCAGAAAAGAACCTTGACCTAAATCTCACACCTTATATAAAAAATAACTCAAAGATATCTAAATGTAAAGCATAAAATTATAAAATATTTGGAATAAAAAATAGAAGAAAATGTTTCTGACCAAGCATTAGACAAGGAGATTTTAGACACAATGCCTAAAATATTGATATGATTCATTTTTTAAAAAGATATAAATTAAACTTCACCAAAACAAAACTTTTGCTCTGCAAAAGACACTGTTAAGAGAATGGAAAAACAAACTGCAGAGGGAGAGAAAATTTTGCACATTTCATATCCAACAAATATTCTGCATTCAGAATATATAAAGACTTCTCAAAACTTAATTGTAAGAAACAAACAATCCAATTAAAAAACAGGACTTGAACAAACACTTCATCAAAGATACACAGATGGCAAATATGGACATTAAAACACATTCAATATCATTAGCCATTGAGGAAATGCACATTGAAACCACAAGGGGATGTTGCTACATACCTTCTAGAATGTCTAGGGGAAAAAAATAGCAATACCAAGTGCTGGGGAAGATGCAAAGTAACTGGAATACATTGTTGGTGGGAAAGCAAAATGGTGCAATCACTCTTGAAAAACAGGTTAGTAGTTTCATGTAAAGTTAAACATTTATTTATGTATAACCTAGAAATTCTACTTCTGGGAATTTACTCTAGAAATAAATATATATGTTCACTCAAAAACCTGCACGAGAAAGTTTTTAGCAGCTCTACTCATAAGAGGAAAAGAAAAGAACAAAAAAAAGGGAAACATCCTAAATATACTTTGGCCAGTAGGTAGATAAACAACAATGAATCATATTTCATATGATTGTGGATGAATCTCAAAAACATTATAATGAGTGAAAGAAGTCAGACACAAAAGGATACACACTACCTAATTCCATTTATTTGAACTTCTGGAATAGCCATTATTCATTTATAAAGACAAAAAGGAGAGCAGAGGATCAGAAAGGAGATCAGGGCAGAAGGGATCTCTTTGGAATGATGAAAATGTTCTATATCTTGATCATGGTGGTAGTTTTGTGGGTATATTATCAAAACTCAATGTTCACATCTTACAACCTAACCTATTTCACTATTGGGTATAGTGTGATGTATATATCAAACTGCTGAGAGGGGCCCATTACTAGGGAGTCATGAAATCAGTCTCATATCTACCCAGAGGGGTATTTATCCTAAAATTAATGAAGCTTAAGCTTCAGGCCCCCTGACTTGTAAAGCTTCTTCTAAGACCTGGTTACTAATCATGTAATCCTGTATTCTTTTTCCAGAGGGAGTTTCCAAATTGTATCCACTTTAGGTCCCACAAAATGTGGATCTGCCTCTGGATATTTGTTTTTTTTAAGTGAAATAGAAACTATGAGAATGATTTGTGAAACTTTTGTTTCAGTTTATAAACGGATCATGGCATAAAAGTTTCTTTCCTATTAGGGTTTGTATTTAAGAAAAAAAAAAGTAGGACATTCATTGTGAATGTCATCTATGAACTTGCGCACAGAGAAATGTATACACATTCAGTGCAACACTGTAAGAGTAAATATTTGGAAATAACCAATATGCCCATCAATATGACAATAAATGCACTGTGGGGTATGTGTGTATGTGTGTGCGAATGTGTGTGTTTATATAGTGTGTTTATATATATATATATATATATATGTTGTAGAATTATATAGCAAAAATAAATGAACTAAAAGTGCATGCCTCAGGCTAGATAACTCTCATAAACACATTATGTAAAAAAGCAACCTAAAGAAGTTTACCTAAAACATAATATTCTTTAAATAAAGTTTTTAAAAAAATTGAAAGACATTACTATGTCTGGTGGATTTCTATGTATTGCCTCTAGATATAGTCACAGATATAGTACAAGTATTAAATTATGTATGAGTCAAAGAATAAATTCAGGATAAGATAGTGATTACTTCTGGGGAGGAAGGAGAGCGAAAGGGAATGATGTAGGGGACACACATACACAGGGCTTTGAGTTTATATGCGGTCTTCATTTTGTTTTAAAATATATTTGTGACAGGCCTCCCCGGTGGCGCAGCGGTTGAGTGCTGGGTTGCGAAGCTGCCCGCAGCCTCTGCAGCGCCAGTTCGATCCCCGGCTGCTCCCCGGCCACTGGAGGAGGGTCCCACATGGCGCGCAGACCTCTCCTGCCGCCCGCTGCTCCCCTCAGCAGTGTACTTGGGTCCTTCTGCCTGCTCTGCTCCCTGCTCTGGCTCTGGTGAATTCTCTCACCCTCCTGCACTTCTGACTGTACCCAGTGCTTGTATAAATAAATAAATAAATCTTTTAAAAAAAATTTAATAAGGTGGATTTTTGCTTTATTATTCTCATTCTTGTCTGAGTATGTTCTATGCTTATTGATGTAGACATTAGTAATAGTGTGATTTCATTTTATGTAGTTGGGTATTTACCTATATTGCACCCCTGAATGGTCATGGAGAAGTTAGTTGAAGTTAGTGGGACAGAAATTATTATCCCTGTTCCATGGAAAAGGAACCTAAGACAGTTGAACAATTTCTTAAGGACTGATAGGGAATGACTCATACTTGTTCTTTGCTTAGCCTAGACTTGCATGGAAATCCACTTTAGAAGTTTCCTTCAAGTTCAAGTGCCCTGACCCCAGCCACTCTCCCCATCCCTATGCTGGGAAGCCAGTTACTCAATGGAGGAGTGAATGGTGTTACTAGCTAAATGTTTGTTCTAAAAGCTGTCAAGCTGAAGCACCAGAGGGAATGTCAGTGGTTTTTGTAACTAAGTGGATACCAATTTGCAAGCCATTTCTTTGGAAGCACAGGTCTGTCCTCCTGGCCACCCCCAAGCTGGCTGACTCAGTGACCTTGGACAAATCACTTAACCTCTCACGACTTACATTTGCATTCCAGTAAGCAGAATGAGGGATTTTCATGACTGTTCACTTAGGGCTCCTGCCAAATACTCTTTGAAAATTAAGGATCTATTTAAGGTCAGTTATAAGGCAACAACATCAGCTTTTCAGGTACAAATTTCTTCTGAACCTCCCTCCCCAGTCCTCAAATACTGTTTTCACGCTCACGTACTTGGCAATGGCAATTGTAAAAGAGATTGAGTTTGTGCTTTTAAAGATTAGTAACTTTTAAATCACTAACATGCAAATACTTTTTGTTATTATTAAAAAAAAAAAAAAAAGGAAGGCGGCACCTAACTAGAAAGAATAAAAAGTGAGCAATTTGTATTCTACTGCCTTCCATTCCTCTGAAGATTTTGGAAGTAGTTTGCGAACAATAAACTTGGGAACCTCATTTCAGCACCGACGACAGTGCCTGGCGAAAATCCTCCCAGGTTCTGGGTATCAGGGTGTGGAAAGGGACCGCCGCGAAAGATAAACCAGGAGCCGGTGCGTCCCAGCGCACCAGGTTCGCCTTCCCTTCTTGGGCGGCGTCTCCCTCGGGACGGGCCCCGGCGGCGTCCGGCCGCGCCCGGAGCCCCCTCGCGGCGGCCTGGGGTGGACGCCCCGGGGCCCTTTAAGGAGCCCCGCGGCCGAGCCCCGCGCGCAGGGGGCGGGAGGCAGCGCCCGCGCCCGCGCCGCCACGTGACTCGGCTGCCAAGTTCGCTGGCGAGTTTGACAGGAGTTTGCAGCGGACTCGGGGGCTTTCTGCGGCCAGCTGGGCAGCGCGGCGGCCGCGGCCTCCGCCAGCCCGAGCAGCAGCGCGCCCGCGCCCCGGCCCGCCAGCCTGGATCCCGCGCCGCCGCGGGCCGCCAGCGCCCCGGGACCGCTCGCCTCGCCCCGCGCGGCTGCGCAGCCCCCAGCGCCCCCGCGGTCGCTGCAGCCGCCCGGCCCGGGAGCCGAGACCCCGCGCCGCGCCCCGGCCGCGCCGCGCCAGCATGTCCTCGACGGAGAGCGCGGGCCGCGCCGCGGACAAGTCGCCGCGCCAGCAGGTACGCCCCGCGCCCCGACGCGCTCCCCCGAGGGTCTCCACCTGCGCGCTCCACCTGCGCGCCGGGGCCGGCCCTACCCGCCCCCTGTGCCCCTGTGAGTGAGGAGACCAAGGCCGGGGCGCTCTCCCGCCCCCCGCGCCGCCCTGACCCCCGCCCGCTCTCCCCGCAGGTGGACCGCCTGCTCGTGGGGCTGCGCTGGCGGCGGCTGGAGGAGCCGCTGGGCTTCATCAAAGTTCTCCAGTGGGTGAGTAGCTGCCCCGACCGCCGGCTATTTCGGGAACCTAGGCTGTGACGCTGACCCCAAGCAATCTTGGCCGGGGTGGGGGGTGGGGAGGTGCTGCCACCACGGAAGGGTGGCCCCCCCCCCCCGCAACAGGTGGGCGGGGGAGGGGAGCGCTGGGTGGCTTCTCCAGCCTTTGATGGCAAGAGGGTGAGGACCAAGGCATGTGGAGGCCCGGATTCGGCCCTTCTATGTGCAAGGAGCCTTTGCCCAGGGCGCTCACATTTCATCCGGGCAAGCGGACCCGGGTGTAACCTTTCCAGAACTCTGATCCTGCACATACCACTCCTTGGCCGCGGGGCGGGGGGGGGGGGGGGGGGGTAGGACAAGAGGGACGAGGTCCGCTCTCCACCACTAGCAAAGCCGCAGAGGGCAAAGGAAAGGAGGCAGCAGGCGATGGAAATCATGGTGCTCCCCCAAACCACCGGAACCTGACTGATCCTATCCTACATGTGAACTCAGGGAACAGGGTCCTGGCTGGCAGTACCCCTGTTGAGGTCATTGGAGTAATAATGTAGATTCCTGTAACTGAGACTGGGACTGGGTGGGTGGCTGCAGGGAGGGAGATGGAGGGTGAATGAATGAAGTTCAAGACTCTGAGATTCAATAAAAGAAAAACTATCAAGACAGAATAAAAATTAGCGTGGCTAAAATGTGTCCTGTGGAATAAGGTAGAACATCGAAGTGGGAAGCTGGAGCCCTGGTTCCAACCCTGGATCTGCCTTTTCCAGCTATGTGACCTTCAGCCAGTCACTTCTTTAAAGGGTAGTTTCCAATATTAGTCAAATGTTGATCAGATCACCCCAGGGTCATTTTATGCTCCAAGTAGGTTGACCCATGCCTGTTGGAAATGCTAGAATATCACTTTTCAATAGACTTACCCTGGAGCCTTGAAGAAATCACTCTGCCATGGCCTCAGTTTCCCCTTTAATGATGTGGGTGAAATATCATCTTGCCTCACTGGTACATTGAGACATTGATATAGTCTCTGTCCTTCCCATACCCCAGTAAGCTGCGTAAAAGTTAGGGTTGTAGACAGGGGCAGTCACTCTCAAATAATTTAAGTCATAATGCGTTTAGAGCACCATCATAAAATAAATTTAAGTTAGACAATTCACATATCAAATTAAGTGAGCACTTAATTCATGTGCTCTCAGCACAAAATCCAGCTAGGGACTAAGTCACCATAATACCAAGGACTGTGTTCTAAAGGATTTGTAACTCACTGGAGATAGGAGTTAGCACTGTCACAAATTTCTAAATCACTGTTTGAATGAGAATCAATAAATCTGGAATTCAGGGACAATAATTCATTTGAGGTTATCTCTGGATATCTGAGACCCTGACTGGGGTTACAGGCCAGCCTAGGGAGCACCCATGTGCAAATTCTGGCACCTGGTGGGGACTTTCCACTCTCCCTACTGCCTCAAGAGCAGTAGTACCAAGTGCTGACATAGCTCTCTCAAATACCCTCACTTCCCCATTTTGACTCACTCCTTGAGTACCAGAGGGGCCCACATAGCACTGATATTAAGACTCCATGGGACTGCAATCCAGAACTAGGGAGCTATTTCGAGTTATCCAGAGGAGCAGAACCTGAAATGTGGAAGTACTGTTTTATCATTAAACCAGACAAATGGATGTAAGAGATATCTGAGAGAGACTGTTAAGAGACGAGGGACACAATGAAGTTATTGAAGTTATTAGATCATGGAATCACCTTTTTTGGGGGGGACTCTAGAAAGTGCGGTCTTCAACGCTCTCCTCAACCTTCCCACCCCCGATGCCCTCGATGTTTCTACAAAGACTGCACAAAGCAATATCTAGGGAAATTATTCGGTCTCCTCCAAAGGTCAGCATTGATAGCCTAAGAATTAAGACCGTTTGGCTTTTTGATCCTCACCTTCTTACAGAGGGGTTATGTCTTTCTCTCATCATTCCACAGGCCGGAGCTAGAGTATGAACTCAGCTTCCATTGAAATGGTAGCATCCTAAGGAGACGTGTTACTGCCATCCTGCTGGCCTGATTCAGAGTGTGAGCTTTACTTGCCCTGAGCCTCTGTAGATGAGCTGATATGAAAGTATGCAGGAGCTGGCACCCAAAATAACAGGGAAAATGTCATTTGGGACTGTCACTTATTTTCTGCTTGGAGGGATCAAAACCTCCTGAAAACAAAGTGGAGTGGGGACCACAAATCTTGCAGTTACTGTAATGATCATTGAAAACTTTCATTGTCATTATTTCCAAAAGGCAATGATTTTACTGGAACCCTGCTGAGCAGAAAGTAATGTCATTCTGTTACTAATCAGGAGCTTGGCTTAGAGTGTCTTTTGAAAACTCAGCCATTAAGTAATCTTACCTCAATTCCAATTCTGGAGTCTTGTTAAGTCTCCATTAACCCAGTGAAATATCATGGGCATAGATGAATTACTGGATAACTAACTTTTTGAAATGCAGGAAAAAAGGGAGAATTGGAGGTTACATGGCTTTGGTTAAAATTCAGTCTCCTCTGCTTTCTAGCTGTGAAACCTAGGGCAGGGGACAAAATCTTTATTTGCATGCTCCACTTCTGTAAATGAGGGTCAGACCTGCGTCAGGGCTCACTGGGAGGATTACGGAGAGAGCATCTGTAAAGCATCCAAGCATTGAGGAAGACCACAGGCCACGGTGAGACTCACAGTCCAGAAGGAATTCAGTGAGTGTGGCTCCCTTTGCTCCTATTTCTGAACCTCCTCTCTCCCCTAACTTTCCCCCTTACACAGACTGTCAGCGAGACTCGTCCTTTGGTGAGATTATTCAAGTATCACTGCCAACTCCTCACTTTAAGGATAAGGGACTAGATTATTCAAACCCTGTTCCCATAAGAAGTCATATTATCGGTAACTGGGTGTGCCCCTGATCATTAATTAATCTTCAGAGTGTCCAAGTCACTTATTTGGCCCGGGGGCCTCTGTAATGAAAACAAGCTATTTTAACAAGTGTGGGGAATGCAAACGAGTCCACACAAGCCCTCAGAGTCCATACAAGCCATGACATGCTTGTGGAAGTAGGATTTGGGGGGCAGAATTTGTCTTCTTTGTGCCCTGCACTTTAACTGGGGATGGTAATGTTCTCCGGACCGACACGGGATTATCACCAACAAACAAGTCAGCGCCAACCTCATCCCTCCACTGGCAAGGTTATTCTAGCATCTTTCCAAAAGAGTTACAGAGGCTGGAGGAGGCAGCGACGGGGGACAGTCTATGACCACTCACTGTCCCTAGAAATCAGCTCCAGAAGAAGAAAGGCCTAGAAAGGCAGCAGCATTCCTTCACTTCTCGGCTCCTGTTCTTTATGGCCAGTTTACTCAACTCAGAGTCTGGTGCGTGGTGAGAGGGGTGGCTTCAGTTTTTCCCTGCTCTTCCCTGGGGCTCAGTCACCTGGCAAAGTTAGGGAAGAAAGCACATCTGGTGCAGAAAGATGGAGGGGACTGAAAGAGGGTGTCTTTTTCTGCTCCTATATAAAGGTGTGGGCAACTTCCTTCCTTCTTACAATACTCCCTGCAAACAGTAGATTTTCTTTTCTTTTTTTTTCAGCTTCTGTGATGACGTGTTTTATTTTGCTTTTTGAGCATGACATGCTTCTCTCAGGATGTAAACTCTTGAGAGCAGGCAATGGGTCTTACACATCTTCAAGTCTCTAGCACCTGGCACAAAATAACTGGGCAATAACTATTTTTTTTAATTAACAAGAACCAGGGTACAGGCCAGATGCGAGGGAGGGTGAGAGGATTCACCAGAGACAGAGCAGGGAACAGAACAGGCAGACTGAAATACACTGCTGAGGGGTGCAGTGGGCGAGGCAGGAGAGGGCTGCCGCGCCATGTGGGCTGCTCCCTGGCTGGCCGATATCGAACTGGTGCTGCAGAGGCTTCGAACAGCTTCACAATGCTGTGCTCAACCGCCTGCGCCACCAGGGGAGGCCCAACAATTTGTTAATTAATGAGTGAGTAGAGGAGAAAGAGCACCGGACAGGGAATCAGGAGACATTAATGCTCAGCCTGGTTTTCACAGTGGCTAAAAGTGACCTTGGAAAAGTCTGACTGTGTGAAGTCCAAATTTAATCATATATTCTGGCTAATGAATTATGGAAGGTATTTAAAGGTTCCTGATGTTAAAAGAATCAGAAGAGAAGAGAAAACAGTTAATATCGAAGTTATGGTGGGTATAGTTTATCCTCTGAGGAATCACAAAGCAAAGGTTAAGAGTTTCCGAAGCTCAAGGTTATCATCAAGACAAAGCAGAACTTTCAGCAATGATGGAAAAGTTCTAAAATTGTGTCCTCCAATATGATACCTGCTTGTCACAAGCGACTCTTGAGCATGTGAAACATGGCTAGGGTGACTGACCAACTAAATTTAAAATTGTATTTAATTTTAGTTAATTTAAGTGCAAATAGCCACAGTTGCCTACAGCTAAGTGATGGCTAGTGCAACTCCAGAGGATGAGCCCTTTGAAGGCAGAGATTTTTTTTGCTTCTGTTCACTGGTAGATAATAGTGCCTAGAACAGTGCCTAGCACATAGAAACCTCTCACAACTACTTCCAATCAGAGCAAGGTGGCAACCCCAGCCTGGGGACCAAGGCACAGGGGTCAAGCCAAACTGGTCTAAGGTTACTGACTCTTGGAGCTGGAGAAGGAAGACAATAATTATGAACAACTACACTGTTGGCTCTTTTTTTTTTTTCTTTTTGTGTGTGTGTGTGTGGGGGGGGCCCTCGCCGGTGGCCGGGGAACCAACCAGCACTGCAGAGGCTGCGGGCAGCCTCGCAGCCCAGCGCTCAACCTCTGCACCACCAGGGGAGGCCCTCTTTTATTTTTTTTAAAGATTTATTTATTTTTATACAAGAACCGGGGTACAGGCCAGATGTGTGGGATGGTGAGAGGATTCACTGGAGACAGAGCAGGGAACACAACAGGCAGACTGACTGAAATACACTGCTGAGGGGAGGAGCGGGCAAGACAGGAGAGGTCTGCTTCGCCATGTGGGATTCTCACCAGCCGGGATCGAACCCGCGCTGCAGAGGCTTCGGACAGCTTCACAGTGTGGCACTCAACTGCCTGCTCCACCAGGGAGGCCCTACACTGGTGGCTCTTAACTCTGGTTCCATGTCCAAGTAAATCAGGGAAGGTGTTGAAATGCAAATTCCCAGGCTCCACAGGGATGGCCTAAATCAGTCCCAGAGGTGGGGATCTGGGAATGGATATTGGAAACACTAGGTGTTTCCCCAGGGGAGGTTCTAGAGAAATTATACCATTCCTTTCCTGGATGTTTTTTAAATGGAGACAGTCTCATTTGTCTGAACGAAACCTCCTGGAAACAGACAGGTGTCCATTATGACCTTTAGACAGGGGTCGATAACTGCAGGATGAAGAAGATCTGCCAGGCCAGGCAAAGCAAGGCGGGGTAGTGGCACCGGATACCACTCAGGGGCAGAGCGCAGCTGCTGGCCAGCCCAGCCAAGAGAAGGCTGCTGGCATTATCCTCAGAGGGAGGGAATTAGGGAGCTGGAAAAGGCCTCTAGAGATCTCCTCCAAACCCCTCATTTCTCAGATGAGAAGAAAACTGAGACTCAAGAGCGCGAGTGACTTATTAGAGGTCACCTAGCTAATGAGTGACAGGGCCAGGACTAGAACCCAGATTTCTAGACACTAGTCCAGGTCCCTTTTCATATCAAGCATTAGCAAAATAACATGCCTCCAACTGTTCTAAACTCTGGCTGCAGGACTGGGACATAGATTAGCAGTCTCATAGGTGCTTAATGTCCAAGCCGGAGAGAAACCTCACAGAAAAGCTCACTGCTTAGTAAGAATGAGCACAGCATGTACAAGCCCCTGGGAAGTGCACGGGAAACTGGACCTGAACAGGATGGTGTGGGAGGAGAAGAGATTCCGGTTTCTCACCTCCTTTTTGAACAGAAGTATGTTTCCCCAGAAAGATATTTGAAAATCATAGGATGAAGGAATTTCATTTCACTCAAGACAGGAGCTTTAGCAAAATATGATGAAAGGTGGAGGGGAAAGCAATTCAAGTGATCTGAAATGCTTCTGCTTCTTAACACTGAGAGATGGCAGCATCCACAGCTCACAAAGGAAAACACCACTGGGGAAATAGCAGAGGCTGATAAGACAAGTCGGGGGCATTTTCCTCTGGGCTTGAGCCAGATCTGTCAGCATCAACCCTGCCCGGACTGAGGCTGAAAGGACACGTGCCTCTGGGGGAAGAGGAGTGAGGCTGGCAGCACCTTAGGGCAGCAGTGTGGCCTCTGCCTGCGTGGCCCCTTTGAGAGCTTGTTAGGAGTTGCCCCTCCAGCTACATCTCCACTGAGGCAGAAGCCACTGGAAATTAGCAATAAAGTGACTGCTTCAAAAGGAAAATAGAAAGAATTCCTTGTGTGCCTGATCTAGGTTGATGTAGGGGAATGTATTTCTAGGGTGCCTCTCCCTTGGGGAGGAAATGCAAGTCCAGCGTTGAGATCGGAGTTTCCAGAAGCTTAAATTGCTCTGTGTCAGTTACCACCTTAAGGAGGTTTTCTGTGGTCCCCCATGCTGCACCCAACAAGGAGACTGTCTCCTGTCTCCTCTCTTCATCTTCCTCCCCAGGCACCGCTCAAAGTCAACCTTACTTTATGCACTTGGCTATTAGGTCCTGTGCAGTGGACACAGCAACTTGTGCAGTGGACACAGCACCCTGAGGCTGGGCGCCTGCCCAGGAGGAACCTGATTTTTTTTTAGATTTATTTATTTATGCATACAAGAGCTGGAATGCAGGCCAGAGGTGTTGGGGGGCGAGAGGATTCACCAGAGACAGAGTGGGGAACAGAACAGGCAGATTGACCGAAATACACTGCTCAGGGGAGCAGTGGGCAAGGCAGGAGAGGTCTGCCGTGCCGTGTGGGTTTCTCCCTGGCTGGCCAGGAATTGAACCCACACTGCAGAGGCTGCTGACAGCTTCATAGCACTGCACTCAACCCTCTGCGCCACCGGGGAGGCCCAGGAGGAAACTGATTAAAGGGAATCATGTCCCCGACTCATAACTGCATGGGCTGAGTGTCAGAGGACAATTTGAAAGGGATTTAGCTGGGCCATTTGAGGCCTTCTCACACTCAACAAAGCTTCACTCTCCCTCAGCTCTTTGCTATTTTCGCCTTCGGGTCCTGCGGCTCCTACAGCGGGGAGACAGGAGCAATGGTCCGCTGCAACAACGAAGCCAAGGATGTGAGCTCCATCATTGTTTTGTTCGGCTATCCCTTCAGGTGAGCAGGAGTTGGTTCTGCCCCTCCCAACCTCCACCCCCGCTCCCCCCCACCTCCCACTGGACTAGCAGGACCTGCTTGGTCTCTTTCTCTTCCAGACACCTATAGACCATGTGTTGTATGTGTTACTCCAGATTCAAATAGAACTGCAAGACTGGGGTCTGTTCTGCCCTTTAGGAATCCCAGACACCCTGACGAGAGAAAAACATACAAGAAGCTCAGCTAGTCATTATGTTAATGTCCCAGTCCATGTAACCGCTAGCTAACTACAGCTCCTAGAGAAGGAACCCAGGCAATGTGGGATGGAGGCAAGGAGTCAGGGCAGGTTGGGCAGGTCTCTCAGCCTCCTCCCTGCCTTGGAGGTAAGGAAGTTTGTTATCACTAAGATCCTAAAGGTTGGATGTGGGGTGCTTACCTGGTACCACCAGAACATAAGGAGGCTCACCTGACCAGGAGGAAGAAGGTTCATTTTTCCTAGCTCCTACAGGAGCTTAGGGAGGGGGAAGTCCAAGTGTTCAGGGAAAGGGAATAATGCTCAACTTTCCAGAAATTCCTAGTGGCAGAAGCTGTTTGCTTTTCTCTCTTTATTTTGTCCAATATGGTCTCACTGGGGTTCCAACCTTAACCTGGTCACTGTGGGCCTGTGTTTTCCCAGGGCTGAATGAAGCTCATCTGCTGGATTGGCTGCCAGAAATGGCTGGACAGAGTGGCTGTGACCTAAGGGGCCCTGGAGCTCCTTGGACATACATCATCACTGTCTCTGAGCAGGGTGGATGAATGCGGGGTCATGGTTGAATGGGACAGAGAGTGTGACCAGAATTCTAGGGAAGCTCCTCTCTTGACTTTGGGGTTATCTCCAGATACAATTTCCACCCCCCCCAACACGCCCCCTTTTGTCTCAGCAAGAGTCCCAGAGTGAGAGCTAACACCAGACTACTTCCGGGGCAGGGGCAACCCCCTGCTTCCCCAGGGAAAGGATGCCCCAGCTCAAGATGGCCTCTCCTGCCACCTGCAGGTTGAACCGGGTCCAATATGAGATGCCCCTCTGTGACGAGGACTCCACCTCCAAGACCATGAACCTCATGGGGGACTTCTCTGCCCCCGCGGAGTTCTTCGTGACCCTGGGCATCTTTTCCTTCTTCTACACCATGGCCGCGCTGGTCCTCTACCTGCGCTTCCACATGCTCTACGCGGAGAACAAGCGCTTCCCGCTGGTGGTGAGTGGGCCCAGGAAGGTGGGGTGGAGAAGCTGAGGAGACGCAGGTTCTGGGGCTGAGCTAGAGGGGACAACAGTCATGGGGGCTTTCCTGGATCCCTGACACCCACCCGTGGGACCTCCAGAATCTCCCTTCCTCCCTTCACTATCAGGGCCCTGCCTCTGACAGCCTCCCACCACCGTCCCTGCTCTCAGAAGCACAACGGCAGGATCAGGAAGCAGGCTCTGCAGTCAGACTGCCCAGGTTCAAATCCCTGCACTGCTCCCTACCAGCTGTGTGCTCTTGGACAAGTAACTTACCCTCTGGAACCCTCAGTTTTCTCAGCTATAAAATGGGGATCATACCTATCTCATAGCATTTTAGGAAAAAAAAATGAAAATGCCTGTAAGATATCTGGTACATGTGCGCCAGAATAAGTGTTAGCTATTGTTAATATGTCTCCCCTTTACTCTTTCCCTACCCCAGGCATACAAAGTAGAAGGGGTGCTATAGGGGACCTCATGTATCTAACAGTCTACCCTCACTCTGTAAACCAGTTGTAGCTGAGCAATGATGAACAATGGAAAGGCTGGGGGGTGCAGGTGAGAAGTGGAAGCTTAAGTGTCACTTGGGTTTGGGGTGACACTGATCTGCAGATGCTGTCTCCTGTCCTCAGTTCAAAAGGCACGGGCAGGGGTAACCCAGAAGGCAAGATCCCTTTGGTGGTAATGCGCAGAATCCCCAGGGTGAGCTAGACTTCCTGAGCACTATGTGTGGGATACAATGGGAAGAAGCAGCTTTCCTGGGACCCCAGAATCACAGCACATGACAGGAGAAAAGAAAAGAGGAATCATGGGACCCTCGCTGAGAGTATTTCCTGTCCCTCCGCTCCCCCCAGGACTTCTGTGTGACAGTCTCCTTCACCTTCTTCTGGCTGGTAGCTGCAGCTGCCTGGGGCAAGGGCCTCAGTGACATCAAGGGGGCCACGCGGCCATCCAGCCTGACTGCAGCCATGTCCGTGTGCCATGGAGAGGAAGCCGTGTGCAGTGCTGGGGCCACGCCCTCCATGGGGCTGGCCAACATCTCCGTGGTGAGACCTGTGTCCACGGAAGGGGTCTGGGGGAGGCTGCGCTGTTCTGGCTGCTCAGTCCTGTCCCGATTAGCAGGTTCTGAGAGGAACAGAGAGGGTATCCTTATAGGTAGTATCCCCAGCACCTGGAGCTGGTGCCCCCTGTACCTAAGCCTGGCTGCTTGCCCCCCGGCTGGCCCTGAGAAAGCATTTTGGGTGGGGAAACCCAAGAGACACTTAGGCTGCTGTTCCTTCCTCCTTCTGTGCTCTGCCTTCCCAGTTCCTCTCCCTTCTCCCCTTCTCTGTGACTGCCTCCCACCCTTCCTGCCACACATGGGCCCATGGGCGGGGGTGGGGGAGCATAGGGCTGTGGCCGGCATCAAAGCTGGGAGCCCACCCAGAGTGAGTGAGAAGCAGTTCACTGTCACTCAGGTCTCCAGCTGAAAAGGGGTTATGGGCCAGTGGTGGGGCCAGCGAGTATGCACATGTATGGCCATGCCAATTGTTAGAACATCACACTAGTTCCAGCCACCTCATCTCCACCCTCCAAATGGCCTGGACCCCCTCGGGGCCCAGCAATTAAAGGGTATAAGGACCAGTACACCAGGGAAACTTCCAGACCTTACTGAAACCCTACTAACAGATGTATCCCCCCAACATTTTGTTGTAAAAGTTTTCACACATACAGAAAGTTGAAAGAATTTTACAACAAACACCCACACCCTCATCACCTGAACTATACCATTAATATTTTACTCAGTTTGCTTTATCACATCTCTCTCTGCCTCTTTCCATCCATCAATCCATTTTTAATGCATTTCACAGTGAACTGCAGACCTCTGTACACATCCCCCTAAATACTTCTTGCTGATAATGTGTTTAATATTTGGAAGACAAGTTCAAGGACAGCCCTGCCTGGGTCTGGGGCTCTAGGGAAGGAGCACCTTGGACAGCTCTGGCCACACCCACCCTGCGGTAGGCAGGCGGGGCTGCACTGTACTGTGGGAACTGCTTCTTGAGTGTAGTGGCACTTCCTTCTCCTTGCCCTGCGTTACACAATGCTCTACTCCGGGGACCAGATTCCTCTAGCAACCAAGCCATAACTTGAGTGCATGCTATAGACAGAGTTAGACACTTTCACTGGGGAGCCCCTTCGTGGGTGATGGCGTGCACCCCACCTCTACTTCCAGTTGTCTTAGTCCTAATCCTCCTGGCCTCTTCTGCCTCCCCACAAGGCACTCGCCCACTCTGTTCCCAACATGCCTCTTTACTATTCTCACAAACTTCCCTGCTGTCTTTGCAGCTCTTCGGCTTTATCAACTTCTTCCTTTGGGCCGGGAACTGTTGGTTTGTGTTCAAGGAGACCCCATGGCATGGGCAGGGCCAGGGCCAGGACCAGGGCCCCAGCCAGGAGAGTGCAGCTGAGCAGGGAGCGGTGGAGAAGCAGTAAGCAGCCCCACTGCTGCTCCTGAACCAACGAAAGAACCAAGCGAAAGAACCAAGCGGACAGCACCTCTTCTACCACCTCGGCTTCCAGGACCTCCCTCTCCCTCCTCTAGCTTCCCTCCCTCCCATCATTCTGGGCTTTGAGCTTTGAGATGTGGTTGGGTGGGCAGGCCCCGACTGTTGGAAACCTCCCTGTGATTTCCTATCCCTCCTTTTGCTGAAGCCCTGGATGGCAGGAGCTCGGTACTTCCTGTCTATTCCCTGGACCTGGGCATCCTGTGGTCTTATGCATACTCTCACAGTCCCTGAGAACCAGCCTCTGCAGTAAGTGCGGGCTGGGGGGCAGGAGACCAGAATCTCGAGACTATACCTGGTATCCACTTCTATCAACCTGTCCAGTTCCAGTAAAAGTGGGGGTAGGGGAGATGGGCTGGCAGCCTTTGCCCCGGTTCTTTGCATGGAGGACCCACCGGTAGTTTGACGGCCCTTCTTCAGCTGCTGTCAGCCAGCCCCTGTGTCTCACTGATCTCCAGTCAGCCTCAGCTCAGTGTGCTTTCCACTTTCCCTGCGGCCTCTGCTTGCCCACAGAGCCTACCATAAGAAAACCTGGGAAGCCAGCTAGCCCAGAAAGCCCTTCAGAGGGTCCTTATCAGGCCTGGACTCAGTGGGGAGAGCAGATAAACTGCAACTGAGTTGTGATTTCAAGAAACCAAAGCCAGGGAATTTGCTGGATGATCAGTTTCTTCTGTTCTCTCAGCCCTCCCACCACCCCAGGGGGGCACTTTCTACAACACTCTAAACTCATCCTTGCCCTCTTGGAACTCTGTCCCTTCCTCCCTGTCTGTCTTGGGCTTGATCTCACACTTGGGGCACGAGATGAGAGGTCGGGTGGCGTCTCCATTCAGATGTCCTACTCCCTGCCCCAGCCTCTGAGCTTTGAGTCTGAGGCATTCAAGAGCCTCGTGAGGTCTGTCCAGGCCTCTTTCATTCCCGGGGGCCAGGCAGGGGGTTTGGAAGGGCCCGAAGGATCATCAGAGGCCAAGTTGCCCCGAGCCCCAGGACATGGAGATGTGGTTGGATGGGCAGGCCCTCACTCTCTGCTCATTTCCCCCTCACCCCACCCCTTCCACTGCTCCTTCTCTGGCCCTTCTTTCAAACTTCCCCATTTCACCTTTATGAAAGGACAAGCCCTTTCCCTTTGCCTTTCTCATCCTCCCTGGCTGCCTCCTCCCTCCCCGGCGCTATCCTCTCCCCAGTCCAGGGCGGGCCGATGCTTGTGGTGCTTCTTCACTTCGGGACCCAGTTCCATATTTGTCTTTAGTGTGTCTCCTCTTCTGACACCTCCTTCAGTCCTTCCCTGCACCCCAGAGCCTGAGAGTCTGGGCTGAGCGCCATCTGCCCCCTGCTCAGCTCACAACACTTCAGTCTGCCCTGGCCAGAGGGCTGCCCAGGGAAGGACAAAGAAGGAAGAATCCAGCCATTTTCCAATCCAGTGCCAATCTGCTTATCATCCCCAAAGTGAATGTGCCCTGTGCCAATCTCAGGACTAAGTCAGTCCATCCAACCTCCCTTCCTCCCTAATGCCATTCATAGCAACATGTGCCTTATTGGGGCACCCAGGAGTCAGGACCTATGACTTCAGGCCAATCAATTCTTTTTGGGTCAGCGTTTACCCATTTGACAGGGGGGAGTATGAGATTTACTTTCCCAAATGTTCCAGAGTCCTTCAGTGAAGAATTAGGCTTGTTTAATTTTTTTTTCTTTTTTTTAATTTTTGGGGAAGGGATTTAGAGAGGAAAGAGAGCTGGGGATGACAGTGTATCTAAGTTTGGAACTCTGTCCTGAGCTGTCCCCATGGTTAGTCAAGGACAAGGGGACACAGATTTGCCTATAGCTCCAGAGACACAAAGAACAAAGAGGTGACCTTCATTTTCCTTCAGGCTGGCCCCCATGAGGGTCTGTGAGCAGCTTCTATTAGAACTTTGGATTCTGTGTATGAATTTATAATTTTTTTGGAAACGTGATGGATAAAGTGTTCTTTCTTGGGGGTAGAAGCTAGCAACTGACTCTTCAGCTAGGGGAGGGAGGTAGAAAGTAAGCAGTAACACACTCCTGCCAAAGACTCTTCCTAGAGCAAAGAGGGCTCTTGCTCCTCATCAAGAGGTGGGCCTGCTCTCAGCCAAAAGAGCCTTGATTTAGACTATGGCCTTTCTTTATGGCCACCCTAAGGGAAAGGCCATTTGACCTCATTACCTCCAGAGGGCTGTCCTGGGCCAAGTGCCCTGGGAAGGGCTGTCCTCAGAAAACTGACTCATGTCCCTTCCAACCAGGGCTGGCATCACCCGCTTTGCCTAGTGGGGCCCAAGGTAGGGGAAGGTATCAGGTTTCTCCAGCTGCTGCAGGAGGCCAATAGGCGGGGCACTTGCTCTTTGCCCAAGTAAACTGACCTTGCCAAAGAGCCCACCTAGGACCTTTCCTGAACATGAGTTTCCCCCATCATGGTCACAGGTCTCTTACCTCCAGGATTGCAGGTCAGGGTTGGGGGGAGAATGTTGCATGTTGTTTTCTGGTGCTTGTTATTACAAATTTGAATAAACAGTGCTTCGAGCATTTGCCATAAAGGAGCCAAGACTGGAACCTTTCTGGATATTTTTTTTTTCTCTTCCTCCCCATGCTTTAAGTTCTTGGACAAATGTCAGCATTTCCAAGACCTCACCCCACTCTTCTCTACACTGCACCCCAGCTGCAATAGAGTCTGCAGGCTGAGGAGCTGTCCCTGGCAGGCCCCAGTTGGGTAGCGACTCCTCTTTTGGTGACACCAATTAGTCCAAAGTAACTGAGACTCATTAGCAAATTTGGAGCAAACTCAAAAGGCGAGAGATAATGGCTCCCACAATGCTGTTTCCATTTGCTCTCCTCCCATCTGTGACCCAGACACACTTCCTGTCAGGAGTTGAGGGCCATATGCTTTGCCCTCTTAACTATAAGGTTCTTGCTGAACAAACTTGCACCTCTATCTCCCTTCTGACAGTGACATGCTACATTTACACTCCCTAGAAAAATACACTTGGGTACAACATTACATTCAATTTTGCTAGGTTCCTGGGCTCCCTGGGGAATATTGGTGGTGCTCAGGTTAAAAACCTCTGCCCTCAGAGATTATCCTTGAAGTACTAAAACCTTCCCTTGGTGGAAATGAAAAGAAAGTGAGGTCTGAAAGTCACAGACCTTGCCTTATCTGCCTCCAATTAGGTTTCCCCTTAGAAAAATTACCTCTTTTATGATGCGGTGGTGGTGGTGATGGGGGACAGGCTTTTGTCTCTTGATTTTGTGAGGATGGATGGGAAGAAATGGCATCAGCTGAAATGGGTGATTGAGGTATTTCCCAGACCTTAGCAAGGAAAATGACAGATCTGATGAGAAATCTCCTTATGCTGAAGCGCTGTAGCAGCCCTTCCAGCAGAGAAAATATTCATTAGAAAAAGAAGCCAAAGTGATGGATGGAGTCAGGGTCCAGCCAGGGTTTGGGAAGAGGCGGTACGGGGTATCGATTGCAGATCTAAGGGATGTGTGTGTGTGTGTGTGTGTGTGTAAGACGCATCAGCAGAGATGCTGCAAACACCAGCAGCATCAGGGCCACCCCAGTTCCGGGGCTGGCGCTGGCTCGGAGACAGCCTTCTGTCATCCTGACAGGTGATCTTGGTCAGCTCAGCCAGGTCCTCCCCGAATCCAGACAGCGCCGGTCTAACTCTGCTCTGCATCAGGGCAGCATGGGTTTCCCACAGTAGAGACACAACACGCGAGCGGAGAACCCTCCCCCAATGCAACCCCTGTGTCCTTCAGCACATCCTACAGACTCCCTCCCCTTGCCCTTCTGATTCACAGCACCCACCTCCCTGCACCTACCCTATTCGATCTACAGGGGAGCGGAGTCGCTTCGTGGCCGCCAGCCCAGGAAGGGGCGCCAGCCAGCTGGCGGAGGCACAGCTTAGAGGGGCGTCTTGGGCAGAGAGGTTTGGGGTTGGGCTGTGCGTGCAATGAGCTTGGGAGAGTGAGCGGGCAGCACAAAGAATGTGTGCACGAGGGTTAAGAGGGGAGGTCGTGGGGCTTTGGGGTCTCTTGCCCCCGCAATTGTGCATTTCGGAGGTGCTCTTCGCTGGCAGCTCGGTAGGCAGCAGGATTCCCTAGAAAACTACATTTCCCAACAGGCTTTGCAGCAGGGAGGGTGAGGGGCAGGCAACCGGCGCTGCGCTTGCGCAGAGCGAGCGGCCCGGTGGGCGGGAGGGGGGAGGCGTGCCCGCGGCGGGGCAGCAGGGAGGGGGCCGCGCGGCGGCGGCGCCGGGGCGGGCGCGCGTCCGCGGCGGTGATGGCGGTGCGTGAACGCGCGGCGGCAGCAATGGCCGCTCTGGAGCGGCGGGTGCCGAGTCTCGATGACTTCGCGGGACAGAGCTGGAGCTCGTGGGTGGAGCGGGCCGAGCTGCCCGTGGCCGACGGTGAGTGAAGCCCCCCTAGAGTCCGAGGACCCCAGCGCTGTCTCCCCTCCCCCCTCCGGGTCCCCGCCAGCAGAGGGGAGCAGCCGACGGGAGCCGCCGTCCGGCTCCCCGGCCCCCCAAACAAAGGACCCGCCGGGTCCTAGTGCCCGCCCGCTCCGCCACCCGCGCGCCCCCGGGTCCTAGCGCCGGCGCGCCGCCCGCAGCCCACCCTGCCCACCTCTGCTGCTGCCCGTGCCCAGTACCTGCCCCCGCAGCTGCTGGCCTCTGGTTCTCTCCTTGTCTGCGGGCCTCCGGCTTCCGCCCCTCCTGCACCTGCCCTGGGCTTTCCCCGTCCGCAACAGTGCTCTCCACGTGTTTCCCACGCACCCCACTTCTGTGCCCCCCTGCCAGCCCCCCTTGTTCCTTCGCCTTCAACCCCGCACCTCCTGCTCCTTTTTGGCTCTTGCCTGCCGGCTGCAGTGCTACTGGACCCCCGCCTGCTCTGCATCAGTTCGTCAGTCCATCCATCTATCCATTCTCCCTTCCTCCCTCATTCAGTCCACCCATCCATGCCTCCAATCCTCTGTCCTTTCCCGGGCCTCTTGCCCTGCCTCTTGGCTCTCTCCCCTGACCCCCACCTTCTCTAGGCCCGTGAGTGGCTTTGGTGAGTGAGCTGACAGCCCCTTCTCCTGATCTTTGTCTCCTGGGCCCCAGGGGGCACCTGGCCTCGTGGCCTTTGAGGTGACAGCAGGCATCACGCCCCAGAAGAAGTTTGCAAGTGAGAAGAGGTGGAGGAGGAGACCGCATGGAGCAGTCTCTGATGACACTTGTTCTCCTCTGAGACGTCTGACTCCCAGCTGGGTTCTGTCCATCTCTGCATTTTAACAGACTGAAGAGTGGGAGCTGCCCCTTGTCTCTTGCATGCCTAGCCCACCACCCCTCATAGCTGGAGATTATATAAGATGGATAACAATCTTCTCACCCTAGAAAGGAGCAAATCTGTTAGTAGCCAGCAGAAGCAGACCTGAGTGGCAGCCGGGGCCACCCCTGGACTTTCCCATGCTGGGTGGGCAAGGATGGGGCCATTGTCAGGGTCTGGGTGCATTGAGAACCGGAAATGGAATCAGACGGGTTTGGTGACTCAGAATTGATTTTTTTTTTCCAAGGGACAGGGAGGGGGCGTAGAAGAGGGAGGGGAGAGGAGTAAGGTAGGGGGATGGGGAAAGAGCTGCTTTGCACAGCTAAGATGTTTTTGTCATCAACCCAGAAACTGAGGTACAAGGGCAGCCCTTGGTCAGAGCCCTCCTAAGGAGGGGAAAGGCTGGCTTAGCTGATCAAGGGGACTTTGAAGATGTCAGAGGTCCCCAAAGGCAGCAGTTTCTCTGTTTTGTGGCCATCCTATCAGCACAGGAGGTGAGAAGCTGGGTGTGACTGTGATCATGCCATGATAATGCAGGTGGAACCAGATTGAGTTCATGGGTATGAGGACCTGGGAGAGTATCTCTTTGGGATGCTGCAGAGTAGCAGAAAGGACCCCCATGTGAGAAATCTCAACAAGAGCTCAGGGATCAATATGTTAAGGACTGTTTTCCATTTAGATGGGGAGGCAGGCCACCATCACCTAACTCATCAGTAGTTGAACCCTGACCTGCACCTTGGAATGAGGGTCCATGCGAAAGTTGGCTGGGTCCCTCCTAATGGGGCCAGCTCATTCCAGAGGTAGCAGGTGAAGGAAGAATGAGCATTTGAGAATGACCCACTCAGAGATTCTCCAAGGGCCCTGAGCACCAGGAGCGTGTCAAGGGAGTGTGGGCTTCTTGCTGCCCAGCTGTAGACCCTGGGTGGGTAGTCGATGGGGCTATTGGCAAGGGAGCAGTCCTTCTGAACTGTGTTTCTCCTCCAGGGGCTGAGCTGGAGGAGAGTAACAAAAGCACGAAGAAGTTGGATGCCATGACCCTCATTAAAGAAGGTGGGAGTCAACACACATTTGAGCTGGGTCCCAGGGCACACGGGACCACCTTCCCCACTTCTACCACATCCCAGCAGGAGCTGGCTGCTGGAAGCAGCAGTCTGGGGATCCAGTTGATAGTTCTGAGGCAGCCCAGTGCCTGGGCTTCTGGAACCTGCTGTGGGAGATCTTGTCATAGGGGGTTGGTGCCCGCTCACCCGAAGCCCATGTTTTTTGGGGACAGGTTATACTGAACTCTGGAAGTGGGGAGCTCCAGCATAAAACTTGTCAGCCGGGAGGGCAAGTATCTTCTAAGAGGGGGTGGGAGCACACCGTGATCTTATGGGAAACCCTGGCATCCCCAGCCCCAGTGATAAGGGCTTCTGTCATTGCAGACATGTCCATCTTCGGGCACTGCCCTGCCCATGACGACTTCTATTTGGTTGTGTGTAACCACTGCAGCCAAGTGGTGAAGCCTCAAGCTTTCCAGAAGCACTGCGGTGAGGGGAGCCGTAGGGAGGAGATAGTAGGGGACAGGGGAAGGTGGATCATGGAACTCTGAGGACTGTGTCAGTTGGGAGGTCATGTGGATAAAGGAGGGAGGTGCTGAGGATAGGAAGGTCCTGGCGGGCAAGTTCAGGGGATTGTGGTGGGTTGGGGTTATTGTTTGAGCAGACTTGTAGCACCTAGTGGAGGTAAGGGAAGAGCTAAGAGAATCAGGAAGTAGGTCCTGGAATTGTGAGTCTTGAAGGCTCAAATTCAGATGGGGAGAAAGTAAATTTGAAATCTAAGCTACGGGAACTCCAGAGTTGCTGAAGCGAGTCTGTGAGCAGGGCGAGGAGACTGTGGACGGAGGCAGTTGGTACCACTCACCCTAATTACTTTCTCCACCTCCTGGTGACAGAAAGAAGACATGGGCCCCTCAGCAAGCTTTACGCCCGGGCCCCACCCCCACCTCCAGCCCCTGCCAGCTCTCAGAAATGCCATGTAGTGAATGGGCAGGGCCCAGCCTGTAGGGCCCCAGGTTCCACCAAAACCTCCTCCAGGGAGAAGGGCCAGGGGTCCCGGAGCCGCAGCCACCAGCCTCCCGAGAAAACTCAGAAGGACAACCTTTGGTAAGGAGAGGCTGGAGACCCCCCAGACCGGCCTTGGCCCTAGCCCGGGGAGGGCTGAGGCAGATGGAGACAGCTGCGGGGCAGTGGGCACTGCTCACAGCCGGAGACAGCCACCTCTGTCTGTGGCTCCCTTTCATGGGCTCCAGGGGATGGGGTCTCCTTCCCCTGTGATCTGTACCCCAGCTGGAGCCTACCCAAGCTCTGGGGCCCGAAAGGAGATTCCAGTACGCCAGACCCAGCATCCTTGCCCCGCAGCCCACACCCTCTCTCTATGTGTAGCCTTTTCGTGCCTGTGGTGAATTTGGAGAAGATGTCCAGTCTCCCGAAGCCCGATGGACATGGAATCAGGGTGGCCCCGCCCTCTGCTTTCCTCAGCCAGCCGGGTGGCCTCACCAAGGACTCCCCTGCAAAAACCCCCATGGCGCCCCCTTCTAAGGAACCTCCTGGCAGAGAAAGCATCGAGATAACCCCCAGCGAGGGCCTCAGTCACCGAGTGGAAGGCAGCCCCCCTGAAAAGGAGCCTGGCGGGGCCAGACTGCCCCCCAAAACCCACCGGAAGATGGCTCGTGAGTAGTTGCTGTCTTGGGTGTCAGGAAAGCCCAGAGGGAACTCCTTTGTCCTTGGGCCTGACTGGGGGGCAGGGTGGGCGGAAAGGAGTGGCGGGCCTGGGCTCATAGGTTGCCGGGGTCCAGGAGTGCGTGGCCATTCTCAGTCATGCACATATACTGCTTGCGTTCTGGGCGCGTCTCTGCAGCCCAGGTCCCTGGCAAGGTGAAGGGGGCTTATGCCCAATCAGATGAAATTATTCTTTCTCACCTTGGGCTGTGACCTTTAGGTCTTTCCTCATCTAGACCCAAGGCACTAGACGCATGTCCCACAGCTGGTTTCCCTGATACCCCAGATGCCCGCGACTCTTACTGTCTCTTAATATGTGTTGCTCTGTTTTGGGCTTAGAGTGTCCAAAGGCAGTGCCTGAGCTGGGTATAGGGACGGGGCTGGTTCTTGCAGAACTGCTGATGCCCAGAGGAGTTTCTCTGGAAGGCGTAGCCCCAGATTGAGGGCCAGAGGGCCCTTCAGCTGACGGCCCAGCTCTTTCCAGGCCTTTGGTTAGAAGAAGCCAGATCTTCCTGTGGGCCTCCTGGAAATGACCTTGGGGTTCATGGGGACCTCTTTCCTCACAGGGAAGGAGTGCGACCTCAACAGACAGTGTGGGGTAATAAATCCAGAGACCAAAAAGATCTGTACCCGCCTGCTCACCTGCAAGGTAACCCCGACTCCCACTGCACAGTGAGGGAGGACAGCATAGACCTGGGCCCTGGGCAAGAAGCGGGATTAAGATGTGGAAGATCCAGCTCAGGGATGGGGATTAAGCCCAGACCAGGTGAAGGTCTGGGGGCTGCCCCCAGTGCGCCCATGGTGGGGGCAGCAATTATGGGGTGACTTCTGTATCCCCCCATCCCAAAGGAGAGTTCTGGCTGGCCCTGTGCGGGAGTAAAACATCCACAAACACACGCTCCCTTGCTCCCCACTTGCCCAGGCCAGGCTCAGCTCACATGTCCTTCCCTCCACCTGGTTGTATTCTAGATCCACTCGGTGCACCAGCGCCGGGAGGTGCAGGGACGGGCCAAGGACTTCGATGTGCTAGTAGCAGAGCTGAAGGCCAACTCCCGAAAAGGGGAGTCTCCCAAGGAGAAGAGCCCAGGGCGAAAGGAGCCAGCTCTCGAGCGCCCCTCCCAGGAACCTCCTTCTTCAGTCCAGGTTATGGCAGTGGCAGCTGCTCCCAGCAGCGCCTTCTCTGCTCGTGCCAAGCAGACCTACCCATACTGTGCACTGCCCAGGTATGTCCAGGCTCCAGCCCCCATCTCACCAGGGGACGCTTGGCCCCAAACCATCAGGCACCCCTGGAGACAGGCCCAGGGACTGGCCTGAAAGATGCTGCTCACTTGGCCCTGAGTGTGGGGGGGTACCTGGGGTCCCTGGCAGTGGTGCAGAAGTGGGCCATTCCCGATTCCTAACCAAGCGCACCCCAGCCTCTTTAGAGTGTGCCAGATCCAGCACCCGGGATAAAAACAGTTCCCCAACTGCTTCTGACAGACCAAAACTTGTATTTGGGGAGCCGAAAGGGTCAGGGTCCTGGGTGAGGCAGTCCTACTGTGTATTCATTCACTGGCCCCTTCGTGTGCAGAGGCTGCGCTGGACCCCGGGGAGAGCCTGCCTTGCCGAAGGAGACACACACGCATCTCTGCCTGTAACACGAAGGGCAGACACGAAACACAGGCTCAGCTCCCAGACAGGCTCACAGGAATATGTGATGCAAGAAGGGGGTTGAGAAAATTGACGGGGCTGACCAGAGCTGGGTGCAGTTAAACTCAGAAGATTATCTGGAGGAGGCGAATCTGGAGCAGATTTCCCCCCTGAGGAGGCAGGGCCTGGGAAGTGAAGGGGACTGGGGAGACAATCCCTTGGGAGCTGTGGCCCCTGATCTTTCTGGCTCTTACTCTGTGAGCTCTGCTGTTCTCTCCCTTCCTGTCCTCCTTCCTCTTTGTCTGCCCATCAGGGTGTCTGCCCTGGCTTCTCGAGCTTGGCGGGTTCAGGGACACCCCCACCCTGACCCACTCCCATTGCATCCCCCTTACATCCCCTTTGGCCCTTGCAGGTCCCGGGCCTCCTCTGAGAGTGAGTTGGATGATGAAGGCCCCTGTGGTGCTGATGGGGACCCAGGCCTGTTTCCCTTCCCCCTGCCCCGGGGTGGGGCCCAGGGCTCCAGCGAGGACAGTGAGGAGGAGGGGACCTCTGATGACCCCCATCTCGCCCCTGACTGCCATTTTGCAACCCGGCCCCCACGGCCACAGGCGGTAAGGACCTGGGGCAGGGGTCTAGGGTGGGGGGGAGGTCAGATCCTATGTGCAGGGACCGTCCCTGCATCTCAGGCCTCCCTAGCCATGTACCTTCCCTCTGCCTCCAGTTCTGTACGTTTGGGAGCCGGCTGGTGAGTCCAGGATGCTACGTGTTTAGCCGCCGGCTGGACCGGTTCTGCTCAGCACTGAGCTCCATGCTGGAGCGGCACCTAAGCTCCCACATGTGGAAGTGAGTCTCTCTTTTTTTTTTCAAAAAAAAAAGATTGATTTATTTATGTATATAAGAGCTGGGGTACAGGCCAGAGATGTGGGGGGGGGGGTGAGAGGATTCACCCGAGACAGAGTGGGGAACAGAACAGGCAGATCGACTGAAGTACACTGCTGAGGGGAGCAGCTGGCATGACGGGAGAGGTCTGCTGCGCCATGTGGGTTGCTCCCTGGCCGGCCGGGGATGGAACTCATGCTTCAGAGGCTGAGATTGCTTCATAGTGCGGTGCTTAACCCCTTGCGCCACCAGGGAGGCCCCTGGAAGTGAGTCTCTTGAGCCTGGAATATCCCTTCTTAGGCTCCAGGCATACACGGCCTTCAGAAGCCCCAATTCTTTACATACCCGGAGCCGTAGCTTGGCTGTTTGCCAGGAGGACCTCAGACAGAATGAAGAGGAGGTGGGCAGCCTGGCAGTGTGCAGCTGGGCTGAGGCATGGCCTGACCACCATGGGTGGTCTGGGAGTGGATCTTGACTTTTCTTCCAGTGTCTTCAGGGTGATTAGGGATCGGGGAATACCCAAACTGAAATTTAAAATGAGATTCTTTGTGGTTCTATATACTAGTTCTCATACTCTGCACCCAGTCATTCCTGCCTGCATCTTCTTCCTAACCCTCAGTTCCAGCGTCTCCCAGCAGATGGCAGCAGCGCGGCTCTGTGGGCCGTTTCTAGGTGGGGTTGAGAGACGGGTGTGTGTTGGTGTGGGGAGGCTCTCTTGTTTGCTTGGCATCACAGTGGCTTTCTTTTTGCTGCAGGAAAATACCACCGGCAGCGGAGCCTCCGTCCCACCTTGTCAGCTCCCCCCTATCTGCTCCCCTGAGCCCATCCTCCTCGGGCAGCTGTCCCCGCCTTCCAGGCCCACCCCCCAGACCTGCCTGCCCAGCCTCCATACCCCCCACCAAGGACAGCCTTGTCCCCAGCTACCCTGCAGGCTCCCCCAGTGTGGCAGCTGCCTGCAGCCAGGCAGAGTGCATTGGCGGGAGCCAGGCCATCACCTCACCACTGCCTGCCAACACGCCGTCCCCGTCCTTCAGCAAGCTCCCACCTTCGAAGGCCAGCAAGTCTTCCAAAGGCAAGGACGGGGTCGAGGTGGAGGCCCCTTCTCGAAAGCGAAAGCTCTCCCCTGGCCCCACCACCTTCAAACGGACCTGCATCCTGGAGCCCACTGGAAAAGGCAAACCCTCTGGCTGCCGGGGCCTCTCAACCAAGACTAAAACAGCCCTGGGCATGGGGCTTAATGGGACGGTGGGGCCACGAGTGAAGCGGGCGGGGCCCCTGGACTGTCGGGGCTCCCCTCACCCTCCCATGCCAGTCAAGGCTTCTCAGCTGGACAACCGGGGAACGGCTGGACACCCAGCCAAGTCCCTGCCGACCAACTGTCTCTCTGAGGAGGTAGCAAAGAAGCGGAAAAACTTGGCCACTTACTGCCGGCCAGTGAAGACCAAGCACTGCCAGGCTGGTGCCCCTGCCGACGCGGCCTGCTCTGTGCGCCGCAAGAAGCCGGGCCCGGCCCTGGCCTTTGAGGAGAAGTGCTCCACACTGAAGGTACCAGCTCAGCTCCCTGAAGAGCATGCACAGGGGAGGGTCAGGAAGGAAGAGGGTGGAGTTCACAGTGGGAACCTGAACCCAGAGAAGGTGCTAGTGAACGGTTGTGCATGGAGGGAAAGAAAGGGAAAGATGACAGAGTTCCTGGACCGTCTTTAGGGAGAGGTGGGTTTTAGCTAGGGGATCCTAACTTGCCCCCTGGGCCTTTCCCTACCCTCAGCCCTCTCTCCGGCTAAGGAGATGCTGCCTCTCCCCCAGCCCCACTTTTGCTTTAACCAAAAGGCCTTTTTCTGAATTGACTGTGGCCCCGACTCCAGGAACTGGAGCCCCTGTCCCCTGAAGGAAATGAAGTTGGACTCCATGAGTTCTGATAAGAAAGCTGTGGGTGGTGGGCTTGAGCTTGGGACCTTGAGCTGTGGCCTGATAGAATGGGCAGGTGGTGGGCGGGGGGGCCTTGTTCCTTGGTTCTGTCTCTGAGCATCAGGGCATGGAAGGGCAGGGACACAACTCAAGGTCCACAAATGCATGTGTGCCCACCTTGCACATGTGCTCACTTCCAGGTTTTCAGGTGCCAGGCAAGTTCTCCAGGGTTTCTGGTAAAGCCAGCAGCCAGGTTTATGTGCCTCTTCTGATGGGAGCCCTGGAGTAGCATGCTATGGGCTATCCATATGATCTCAGCCAGGAGGTACTTGTTGGAGGTGGGAAGGGGGGAGGCCTTCCTGGTTTAGGCACCAGCCAGATGCATACCAACTCCTTTGGCACCCATATGAGAGGAGTGAGTTTGACAGTTGCCCAGGGTCTCAGTGTGTGGGGGTGGGTGGGTGGGTGCACGTGCACACGTGTGCATGGTGTTTTCCAGGCCGCCCCTGCTGGGCTGACATCCATCATCCCTCTTGCCCAGCTTTCCTCTCCAGGCCAGGAGGAGGAAATCAAGTGTTAGCTCTAATGGCCCCCACAGTTCACTGGGTAGGAGGACTGGTAGGCCCTCAGCCTGACCCTGTCTCTTGCCTCTTGTCTTCCTGCAGTCAAAAGCCCATTAACGAGAAAGTGCCTGCCCACTGCGATGGAGCCGCCAGCACCTCCTCCCCTCCAGATCCGGGCCCCAGGCTACTGCCGCTTTTTATAACTTTATATTATTTTTTTTAAGAAAAAAAAAAAACCTCTTTAAAATACCTCAAGACTGTCTCCCTGGTCTGTTGCTGCTAAGAAAATATAAAAACAGAAACATAGAAGAAGGGGGAAAATGTAACAAAATAAGTGTCCTTACTGTCCCCAACTGCACTCCCCGGGAGGCTGAGATGTAGGCAGCCAGACGTGCGACGAGCTTGCCTGCAAAAGCCTCTTGAGCTCATATAATTTTGTCCTTTTAAACAGTGTGAAAGTGGCTGGGGTTTGTATCATTCGGGGAGTCTTCTCTCCAGATAGGATGATGAGGTATGTGGCTCTGACTGAGCACAGCTCCCCGGAACTGAGCCAACTCTAGTTCCACTGGGAAGGGAGACGTCTTCCAGGGAGGGAGCCACACCTCTGGCCTTACTCTTGGGTCTTTGCCCTGAGGGTCTGTGGGAGTCAGCTGGTGACCCCTTTCTGGTCTTCCAACAGTCCTGGGCCTCTGCCCAGTCTCCAGATTATTGCCTCATTTTCTGGAGCTGTTCGTGCCCGGCCTGTCTCTTAACCAGCAACCTATTTTCCCAATAGAGGGATCCTGAGCTGACTCTTAGGATGTCCCTGAATTCTGTGGGGACAGCCTGTTTTGGTCTCTTGCCCTGGCGTGTAGGTTTGCTCATAAGGAAAGGGTGGACCTTCTCCCCGGTAGGACGCCTGGAGCTGAACCACACCTTCCTGGGGAGGCAGGAAGGGAATGATCCCTTACAGAACTTCCTCAGAGTAGGAGGCAGGAGTGTGGGAGGGCCTGGTCCCTCAGGATCACCCGGCTCCCCGAGGCTGAGCAGATGGTGTGGAGGCAGCAAGGGAGGGGAGTGCCCTAGTTCTTCCATTTATCTCACTGGGGACAACTTCTGTGCAGATGGGGGATGAGACAGTTGCCTCTTGCTCTTTTTTAATTCAAGCACAGGGCAGTACTTTTTGGCTTCGTCTTTACCTCCTGCTCTCCTTGCCCTTAGGCGGGGAGGGGTCTTTTTCTCTTAAGACAAAAAGGGACATCAGGTGACTGGACAGCCAGGGAAATCAGTATTTCCAGAAAACGGCTCGAAACACTGCTTTCGCACGCTTGGTTAGGCAGACCGAGTTTGTGACTTGGGTTTGGGGGAGATCACCTGCCATAAATGTAATTGCCACCGGCCGCTTGAGGCATAAGCTCCCGCAGACAAAAAGGAAGACGTGAGGTTGGCCCAAGCAGCAAGCCGGCCCCGAACCCGGGTCTCGTGCTCTTCTGCCCCCGGCCCCCAGGGGGCGCTGTGGGCGCGGCCGCCGCGTCCCGGGGCGGAGCCTCTGCGCGGCCGCGGCGCCTCCGCAGCGCAAACCCGGAAGAGCGCGCGGCGGCTGAGCGCCGGCCCGGCCCGGCCATGCAGTCCCTGGAGGTAGGTCTGGTTCCGGCCCCGGCGCGGGAGCCGAGACTGACCCGCTGGCTGCGGAGAGGCAGCGGGATCTTGGCGCACCTGGTGGCTTTGGGCTTCACCATCTTCCTGACGCTGCTGTCCCGGCCGGGAACCAGTGAGTGTGCACGCGGGGCGGGGCGGGGCCGGGCCGGGGCGGGGCCGGCGCGCGGGAGGGGCCGCGCCTGGCGCCCCGGAAGCCTGGAGAGGGGATCCCCGCGGCTCGGGGCGCGCGGTGGAGGGGTGCAGGGGCGGGGCGGGCCGGGGCGGGGCGGGGCTTGGGGACTGGGGAGGAGAGACCGACCGCAGAACTGCACTCAGCAGCTGGTCCTCTAAGCTGAGTCCCTCAGAGGATGCCGGTGACAGGGAGGCCAGGGCCCCCCAAGACTGGGCAGACAGCTGCGAGGTGACGAGTCCGGAACCCAGGACCAACGTGTATGGTTGCCTTCTAGGATGCTCGCCCCAAGGCCTCTCGGCTGCCCTGCTTTGCCCTGAGCTCCTGATTTCTGATCAGGGTTGGGGATGCTCTACTGACCTACCCCCCCCCCCCCCCCCCGGCTCCCCAGCTAAATTCTTTGGGCTCCAACCAGCCACCTACCGGGGCAGAAACACTGGTGCCTAGACGTCAGTCTGTTCTCTTTGATTCTTAGGTCTTTTCTCCTGGCACCCTGTATTCATGACCTTGGCGGTGAGTTTGGGCTTTTTTGTGCAGCTGATTCATTTGATTGTGCCCCTAAGGAAGCACCCACTCTTCGGAAGACTTAACCTTTCTAAGGCGCAGAGAGGTGGGGGAAATAACCAGGGCTCCAGTTTTCCTGTGACCTATTGGGAAATATGGAGGGCTGGGCTGTGGATGTCACTTTGTTGAAGGGCGTGGGGGGGGGCATGGAAGATTTTTCTTCTTCCACCAGGGCCTGAATGGAGGAAGTAGAAGGGGTTGTTACCCAGTGACTCCTCCCTTCCCCGTCCCCCAAAAAGCCCACACTCCTCAAGTTCAGAAAGAAGTTTAACATTTGCTATTCCCACTGGTAAAAACACAGCCATAGCAGCCTGAGGGGAAGTGGCTGGCATGGGTGACAACCTGTGTGATGAGACTTCACTCAAATGCTGATGCCCAGTTGTACTATACCCACAAATGCTCACCTGTGAGGCAAGAGGACCTGGTGGGAGTTCTTTAGTCTCCACCTTTTGTCCTTGTTTGGATATATGAGAGCACCTCCTTTTTCTCAGGCCTCAGAGATGGGCCTGGGGCTCACTGGCCCTCTCCTGTGTTCACAGTTCTGCCTCTGCATGGCTGAGGCCATTCTGCTCCTCTCGCCTGAGCACTCCCTGTTCTTCTTCTGCTCCCGAAAGTCCCGGATCCGACTCCACTGGGCAGGCCAGACCCTAGCCATCCTCTGTGCAGCCCTGGGCCTGGGCTTCATCATCTCCAGCAAGACCCGCAGTGAGCTGCACCACCTGGTGTCCTGGCACAGCTGGGTAGGGGCTCTGACACTGCTGGCCACTGCTGGCCAGGCCATGTGTGGGCTCTGCCTCCTCTGTCCCCGGCAAGCCAGGATCTCAAGGGTGGCTCGCCTCAAGCTCTACCATCTGACATGTGGACTGGTGGTCTACCTGATGGCTACGTTAACGGTGCTCTTGGGCATGTGCTCAGTGTGGTTCCAGGCCCAGATCAAAGGTGCAGCCTGGTACCTGTGCCTGGCTCTGCCCCTCTACCCAGCCCTGGTGATCATGCATCAGATCTCCAGCTCCTACTTACCAAAGAAGAAAATTGAAATCTGAGTCCTTCTGAACGCTGAATCTAGGTGGAATGCTTGCACTGGACTTCAGTGGTTCTACTGATGACCTTCGAATGGATCCATTTCAGAAGTATTACTTCTTAGCTGGGTCAGGGGCTGCAGAAACCCAAACTGCTAATGCTGAGGGATGACTCAGTGGACCAAAATGAGGAAATGTACTCGGTGCAAGTGAAAGGTGATGGGGAGCCTCTGTGCTTGATGGGAGACAGACGTGCTGGGTGGTGGTGGTGACGTCGGTGGAAATCTTTTCTTGCTTGTATGCCTGATGAAGAGTTGGGTTCTTATAACTTATGGTTGGCAGCTATGGCACTTTGAATCACTTTTGAGAAAACGGTGTGATATGGTGGAGAGAGAGATTAGGCTGATAGTTCTCATAGGTTCTGTTGTACAACCTTAGGCAAGTTACATGCGCCAGGACCTCAGTGTCCTCAGCTGTGTAATGAATGTTTTGAAACAGTCTGTCAAGCTGCCGTCCCAGAACACCCTCCCGGTTCTGGGCCATGGACTCAGCCGCTCAGACTCAAGATGGAATTCTTACATCTGTTGAGCCCCTACCTCTCTGGTGGGGCAGGTCTGCCTTTGTTGCCTTTTAGGAATCGGTGTTAATGTAGCCCCTGGACCAGGGCACATGGGGGCAGGCACTGTGGAGAGAAGGGTCTCCTGAACTCCAAGGCAGTAAAGCACTGAAGTCACTTTATTGTTTGGGAGGAAGAGGACAGCATCTTAACAACACTATCTAGAGCATCCTTCAGCTTAGCGGATCTGGGCTTGACGGATGCACGATATCCGTTCTCAGTCACAAAGTCCTTAGCATTTCACGCTTTGCCCTTATCTGGCACATAGCTTCGTGAGCTGTCCTGGAGCTTTCAGAACAAAATAACTGAGAAAGTGGCGCAAGGCTCTTCTGATCTAGGGAAAAACCAAGTCTCCCTGATTCCCCTCTCATCTTGTCATCTAAGCTTTCTCAGTTCAAAAACCTCTTGCCAGCTTTTTGGCCCAGAAGGGGACTGAGTTAGGTGCCAGCTGGCAAATGTGGGCTGGGTCTCCTTTCCTCCAGACTGCCCTCCATGATGAGGACTGGATGCCAGACTAGTTAGCTCTGGTCTGGCTCAGTCCAGGAGATGGAGCCTCCGTGATGACGGCAGGGACTGATGTTGAGAGGAGACAGCTCAGTGGAAACTCTGGGAGGCCTAGGGTATAGGGACTGGTGCTTCCGGTCCCAGGAGGTGGGGGAGGCCTGCCTAAATGGCAGTGTTTGGGATGTTGCAGGCTTTTTAAAAATGCAGGCCCTCCTCTCTGGGTGGCTCAGAAGCAAAGGACCTTCGCATGACTCAACAGTGCTAGAAGGGCGGCTGCAAGGACAGGAGAGTCCTCTAGGGGACCTCACTTGGCTCCTCCTTGATCAGGTGGCATCTCCCAGGAACCCTCTAGACCCTGAGCAGCCAAACTGGGGCCCTGCTACGCAGAGGACGATGTTCCTGTCTCTCTCATTGCCCTCTCTCCCCTCTCAAGCTAGCCAGTGTGATCTGAACTTGGAAGGGGTGCTCACCTGGGGTCACTTCCATCAGGGGTTCCATCTCCTCTCCCTCCATTATATGCCAGCGCTAGGAGTCTCGCCCTGCCTACAGCAGCGTGAGGGCCAGGTAGGGCGCTCCAGCTTGTTCTAAGAGCCAAGCAGGCAATGCCATACAGCCTGAGCCTGCCTGAGGTGTTGCCTCCTCCCAGGTGGTGCGGGGGCTGGCGGGCGGGCGGGCAGGCGGGCTGACAGCCGGCAGTTTGCGTGGGCTGTGCCAGCTGATGTCTATTCCCAGCCCTGGGAGGAAGGGGGAAGTCATTTATATTCTGCAGGAGGAAAAGGCCCCAGCTGTCACCTCTCTGACCAGTAGGCCTGGAGGACAAGGGCACAGGGCAGAGAGGGGACGCTGGTGGGATCTTATTTATCTGGTCTGATTGTGGTAGAGGGTGTAGGTCACCAGGAGGTGACTGGCCAGATTGTGGGGGGACTTCCCTCCCCTCCTCTCTTTGTATTTCATCACCACCTGCCCTCACATCCTGGGGCAGCAGCTGGACAGCCATCAGACCTCAGTGCCAGGGCGCTCTTCCTCCAGCTGGGATCTGGGTGGCTGCCGGCCACATATGTCTCCTGCTTGTGTGTTTTCCTCCTCCCTAAACCCCCTGTCCCCCACTTCCCCACATCTCCCCATCTGGGATATTAGCTAGCTTGCTCAAAAATGAGGAGAGGCCTCAGGAGAAAAGCAAATGGCCCCTGGCTAGTGAAAGTCAGTCTGTTTCGCCTTAAAAAAAAAGTCAGGGTGCTCAAATTAAAAACAAAACAAAACTGTGTCATTTGCACAAATTTGCATATCAAGCTCACTGAGTCCTAATTCCAGATGATTATATTTAAACTCAACCTTGAGGATATGAGATGATTTTTGTGTCTAAATCCAGATGGTAATAGGATTTCCACTCCGGGTTCAGATGCACCCCATCCCAGACACCCACCATGGCTGGGAGGGGGGTGGTAAATGGCAGGGCTTTGTGTCTGGGCGGGTCTCCCAGCCTCACCTCTCAGCTCCTCAGCTGCTTCAAGGTAGGCTGCTCTCTGCTGTCAGCGGCGCCTCCTCTCCCCACCCTCTCACAGGGCAGACTACCCCTCCCTGCTCAGACACTGGCCTGTCCCTTCTTCCTCCCTGTCCCCACCCTCCCGCCCCCGTGCCTGGCTGCTCTGGGTCTTGTTTTTAAAACCTCGCTGTGGGAGATCCAGGCATCCTCCCGAGCCAGCTGGCTGCTGTGCCAAGCCCTGTTCAGAGTTAATAATAATCATTAGCTGAACAGTGTTGGGGCCTTTCAGCTGCAGATCTCTAAGCACTTGCAGGCTGAGTCAGCCAGCCCTCACCTCCCCCCTTCCTGGGCTGCCTAGTGGAACAGAATGGGGTAGCACTATGGGGGGGGGGGTGTGTGTGTCAGGAGTCTCCCTCCCAGCCTTGTTTTGCGGCTTCTTTCCCTCGGGAGTGGGCACTGAGTGTCCTCTGAGGACACTAACACTGCCTTTGCACCCAACAAGGGTCACTGGAAGAACAGTGGATGATCCCCTGAGACTGGTGGTGGCTGCGGTGGTGGTTGACCCTGAACCTCTAGTCTTCCTGCCTTCCCTTCTGTTTACTTGTCTTGGCCTCCAGAGGACACCCCTGGTCCTGAAGCCCTAACCTCAGCCTCTCTGGTGACCCTCTGCAGGGAGCTGGGAGGCTTCTGGTTTTAGTGCCAGGGAGCCCGTGTCTGGTGGCTCAGAGAGCTTGGGCATCAAGCCCCTAACCTCAGCCCCTCACCTGATGTTGTGTGGCCCTGGGTGCATCATTTACTGCTCAACCTACCTCACAGGGCTGTTGTGAGGGTTAGATGACAGAACGTGTTCTCAGGCATCCGCAAGTTTGAGACATTAAACAAACGGAAACAGCTGGCGTTGTGATGTTGTCCTTCCCGCTCTCACTCGGCCTAACCCTGGGTTTTCTGCTGCTTTTAGGGAGGCAATAAACAGTTATGGATAATCATGCTTAGGGCACTCAGGTCTGAGGTCGTGTTGCTGGCCACTGTAGGAGAACAGACACATTTCCTCCTTCCAGTGCCAGCTCAGCTCACCCCACACTCACCTGGCCAAGGCAGCCATTGCACCCAGGAATGACACCAGCCTATGACCCAGTGAACCAGCCCTGCATGCTGCCTGCCTGGTGTTTGAAGCCACAGGGCTGGCTGCCAGTCTGGGAATCGGCTGTCCCTGGGACCCGCCTAAAGTCCCTGGAGTTGGTCCTAGTTTGGAGCTGCTGGGCAGGCATCTGTCTAGATCTCTCCTTCCTAATTCTGCTCTTTTGAGGTGAAAGGGAAGCAACGGTAATGGACTTGAGACTGCCCACCTTGACCCTCTCGTCGGCAGCGCCTGCCCCAGATGCTCAAGCCCTCACACCTGAGGCACGGAGCTGGGAGACACCGCTGGCTTCTTCACAGATTTCTCTTTCCTTATCTCAGCCTCTTGGATCACAGTTGTTTCCTCCTCAAAGCCCTTTGTTGGAATTAAAATACACACACACACACACACACACACACACACACGCGCGCGCGCGCGCGCGCGCGCGCCATGAAAGCAGCTCTGTTTACACTTCAAGTTGGGTATAGGATACTTTCCATTCCACTGGTCTGACAACAGCCAGCAATCTGCCTGGAGTGGATGCACAGGCAGGTGCAGCAGCACAGAAGCTTCAGTATTTTTTTTTTTAATCTTAATTGTTTTTTTCTGCCCTGGGAACCAGGAATGAAACACTATCAGGCCTTGTGGGCACAGCCTCAGCAGTTCTCACCAGCACGGGCACAGAGAAGACTGGAAGGCGGGAGGCCAGTGCCCAGAACTGCCTGGAAGCTCTGTGAAGTAGACAGTCTCCATGACTGGGCTAGGCTTAAAGCAGAAACAAATGACCTCCAGTGGGACGCCTGGCTGGTCACCAGTGTATCAGAGAATACGAGTGTCGGTTTTTAATCTGCCTGCTATTGTCAGAATTTCCCAGGTGATTTTTTTTTAACTTCTGTGGAAGCAGATTCAGCAGGCTATTCTGAGGTATCAGAGGATTCAACTTTGTCTCCCTGAATAGACATAAGGGGTCCCCAGCACCCCAGTCTTGAAAGCAGATTCTCAGTTATCACCTGGTGCTCTCTAAGAATGCCCAGGGCAGGACTAGACCTTTCTGCTTAGACCCATACCAAAGGCAAACCTAGTGAGGAAGCAGTGGGAGGTAAAAGGAAAGTGGCCCAAAGTGCCCCAGCACCCCTGCTCTGCATGTATTCTCTACACAGACACAAACCCAACATCTGGGTCAGTGACTTGCCTTATGTGTACCAGTGCAGGAGGATACCCAGAAGTCTCCCTGTGGGGCTCCATGGCCTTCTGAGCTCATGGTTCCATGCCTGATTCTGGAACAGTTACCAGGTGGCCACAGACCAGAAGGCCTCACGGCAGGTCCGAATATCGTTATGATCTCTTCCCCTGACAGTGAATGAATCTGATGGAGAGGTTGGATGTGGCAGCTGCTCTGGCCTTCCTCTCTCTGCCTCAGGAGAGGAAGCATCCGGCATAGGCTCACTGTAGCAGCCCAGAAAAGCCAACCATCCTACTGCACAGGCCTGAGCCTTTTCTGCAGTGTGGGTGGGTAAAGTGAAGCTTTACCATGGTTTCCTGGGCGACAGGATAAGTGGTACACGAACTACAACTGCAGAAAGGTGCAGAAAGGGAAGGAGCTGCGGTACCAGCTGGATGAGAGACTAGACCGGCCCATCCCCTGAACACTTATCTTCGGACCTGAAAGTCAACTGTCCTGGCAGCCTCCAACTCCCCTGAAGTCCTACCTAAAAGCAGTTAGGGAAGAAAGACTCAGCAGACAGCACCTGGGCCAGGATCCAGGGAACTTCTTGTGCTTGTGGGGAGAGAAGGCGGGCTGAAGGGATGTAGATGGGGGCTTCCTCTCGATGAAGGAAAATGGGGTATCGAAACTTCAGGCTCAGCAACAAGCAAAGACAGAGGGGAAGACGCTGAGTAGTCTTCCCTAGACTGTTCTCTCTAACAGCTTCATCCTGACAGCCACAGCAAAAATGACTTTGAAAAGATGAAAACATGCCATCAATGTAGAATATGGGGGTGCTCTGCAGCAACTGTCATTTCATTGACTGCCAAGGTTGATCTGAGGTGGCTGCTATGTGGGGTCTCCATCCCTTATCATTTTGGTTGTTGTTGAAGTCAAGAGGACACCTTTCCACACTTTTGATCAACACAAGAATTAGGTAATTATTCAAATTCTGGTTCTAATTTCTTTTTCCCTTCTACCATTTCCTCTCCCCTCTTGGCATCTACCATAACAATCCGTTTCCAGAAGTACCAAGAAAGTAGCTAAAGAATTTACATATTCAGAGTTGAATAGCTTCCAGTCCAATTTCTGGTAGGCTGAGTCTGTACCAAGAAAATGGGGATTGCACTTCTCTGTCCACACACCACTTCCGACACATTATGCTTTCAGTATTAACCTGCCCTTTAGACGAATGCCTGTCTGCCAACTAAGATGATCACCATTACCATGTGGAGTACTGGTGATCATCAAGCTATCTTGAAAGTCAACTGCCTTCCACCATTTGTTCTAACCTGGTCCAAAAACTTTCCTACAATACAGTGCGAAGAATAGATCCAGACTTTTCAGAGAACAATTCAAGAGGCAAACCTGCTCCCCAGGGGTCCAGGAAAGCTTCATTATCTGCAGTCTCTAGCCCCAAGTCTTGGAATTTTTTAAGCTCGCCTCTAAAGTGTCAGTGGCATTTCTTTTGAGAATCTAATTGGGTTGGCAAACTATGGCCCACAGGCCAAAACCAGCCCTGATTTTATAGATCTGTGAGTTAATAAGAATTTTTTCATATTTAAATAGTTGGAGGAAAAAAGCCTTTAAAAACCATGTCAAAATTATATGAAACTCAAATTTCAATGTCCGCAAATAACACTTGATTGGAACAGGCCACAGTCATTTATTAATGCAGTCGGGGCTGCCTTCCTGCTAGGCCTGCACAGTTGAGTAATTCTAACAGCAACTATCCAGCTTGCAAAGCTTAACTTCTATGAGCTGGCTCTTTACAGAAAGTTTGCTGACCCTTGCTCCACCTTAATGCTGAGAAGTGGATTTTACCTGTGCTCTCATAAAAACATTTAAATATTCTCTTTGCAGACAGGCCACACCCTTCTGAGGTAGACTGAACCCCACCCACGGGCTGAAAAGATAAATAAACCAGTCACAGACTATGCCAGAACAGAGACTCAAGCCAGGTTTAATGATCATTGTCTAGTTTTCAGAGCCCAGGGGCTCCAGGTTTGCCAGCCTGGGTGTACACAGAGGGAGGAACAGGGTCCTGGACACAGGGGAGGCCTGCTGCTTTGCCAGCAGGGCTACAAGGAAATACAGAGGTAAGAACAGAGAAAAAACTGGAATCAATCGACTCTGCTGTCCCCAGCTGGGGTGTACTCTCTTGGCCCCTTGCTAGGAGCCCCATAAATACAGGCAAACAAAAAAGGTGACAATTACAGAGACATATTGTAAAGCCCTGTCATACTGTCTCCAGGGACACCTGCTTCCTGGGAGACATGTCTGTTTATGGGTGTGGGGGAGGGGGTGATCTTTCAGCCTTTTCTCTCCAGCAGACCTGGCAGTCTCCTGCACAGGCTTCCAGGAAGCTTACCAACATTGAGTGCCCAGCCCCCCAAGCAGAAAGCTACCTTTGGGTTCAACTGAAGCCACAGGAAGAGGCTAGTTGGCTCTCTCAGTGGGGTGGCCAGGCGCACCTACCAGTCTCTCTGAGTAGGGGCCAAACTAATGGATGCACAGGAGACTTAGAGTCTCAGAGCCTTTTCTTATTCCCTAAACCGGGTGGGACTTATGAAGGAAATGGCTCCTTATCCTCAGGAATGAAGCTGGAATGCCCCAGAAGGCCTGCTTCACTGGACTTTCACTTTACAGGTTTTCAGAGTCCTCCACGGTTCCTAGAGGGGAAACTGCAGCAGGGCGATGAGACTTTCCCAGGTTCCCTGATGAGTCTGAAGAGGGAGTCCTGGTTCCTATAAATTCAGTAACAAAATCCTCAGAAGTGTCTGGAATATAACCAGGCACCTTTTCCTCCTGCCGTTGTCTTGCCAGAGCAGTTGATATAGGAAGAGCCACTGACAGCTACTTGGACCCCTGCCCGTCAGTTTCCTTCTGGGTCCTTCAGTGACCCAGTTCTCCCTTCATTTCTCATGCACATTGTCTTTAATCCAAGAAGGTTTCTGAGGAGCCTGAAGAAGCGGCTGTTTCCTCATTGCCCTTTCACCCATGATTCTCAGCCTGTGGTTCTCCTAACTCCTGCCTTTGCAGAGCAGCTATTCAGTGTTGTGGAGATGTGAGTGAAGCTTCAGGGAGTTGAGAAACTAAAAGTACAAGAGTTTGCATTTGGGGCGCCTGGCGTGGTCACTGTCTCTCCTATAGGGCAAGAAGATTATGCACACGAGTTGTGCACATAGATGGAGACCGTTCTGAAAGTGGACACTAGTGGGGACTAAAGAATCACTGTCCTGATGGAAGTCAAGGCGCTGGTGAGCATGCGTACCTACGAGCATGCGTACCTATGAGCATGCAAGTACTTGAGGGAAATGCTGCACCTCTCTCAACAAGACTAGGCTACTAATAAAGAATGGACAGCAGTCTTGAGATCCCAGGGACGTACAAGGGACGATGTCACGTTCCAGTCCCCTTCCCCAACCTTAACTGACAGTGGCAGTCAGACCCTCCTTTCGAGCAGCCCTCACCTGCAGGAAAATGACACCTCTTGGAACCTAAAGGCTGATCAGAAAATAAGATCTGGAGAACTTCCAATGGACAGGGAATTGGGGGCAGGGGGAGAGACCGAAAAAGACCAACGTCAGAGAATGTTTTCACCTTTGCCTTGCTCATCCCCTTGCCAAAACTCAGAGCAACCATCTCCCAGGGCCTGCAGAAGAGTCAGAGGAGCACTTAAAAGAAGCTGTCATCTTCACACCCCAAGTCTTCTGCAGGCTTGGGTGCGATGGAACCTTGGGCCTGCTCTTCCTAAGTTCCTCTGGCCTGGCGACCAGAACTGCACAGAGCTCTGAAAGGCATGGGAGTGACAGAACTTTCCTTCTGAAAGTTAAGTGTCACTGGCTGTCTCTGTGACAGGACTGCCTGCAACTTTGTGGCGAGGGCAAGACTCTTAACTCACACTCCAAATTGCCATTCTGGGGCAGAGACCACCCAATCCCAACCCCTTGGTCAATGAAACCCCGCGCTTTGGCTTTGCCAAAGGGATGAGATCTCTGAGAGAAGCTGCACAGAGGAGATACATACCCAGTCCCTCCCATCCCCAAGCTCAGTCTCACCCAGCTGGGGCTGGTTTTCAGGGACTCCTCCCTTTGCAGGGCAGCACCTCAGGGAAACAGAACCCCACCTGAGCTTGATAAGGAGCCTGAATAGAGAGATGGCATACACACAAAATCAGGTAGGTCCAGCAGGATGCTACATAATAGAGGCTGATTCCTCCTCCTCCTAGTGTGAAGTGGCCCCACGTCCCACTTCTGTGCCAGGCAGCCATAAAACCTCTGTCTTTAGGGCCCCTGCCTGCAAGTGTTGGGAATCAAATACTAACCAAGGGTTTCACCAACCAGGCAATGAACCTCTCTGGGGGTTAGCCCCCAGCTACATGTGTTGTATTGGCACCTGTGCTGTGACAGCCCACCCCCCTCATTCTATGCTATACCCCTTGGTGCCGCTGGCCCGGGACAAGGCACAGATACCACATCTCACGCTGTTGCTGTATCTGAGCCGACAGGCCAAGGCCCTGCCAAGAACCATCCACCCAGGGCTTCTTGGAAAAGAGGAAGGCATTAGTGGGAAGTCTCACAACTTGGGGAGTGCTACTGATTGAGGTCTCCGGCTTTTCCTGACTCGCTTTTCCAAAGGTTTCCAATATTCCCAGCCATGAAGTGTGACCTCCTGGTCACAGAAGATACTACAGGGTGTTCCCAGTTGGCTCCTGTGGAAACTCTCCCCAACACGCACTACCTCACAGGTGTGGGTGGGCAGAGATAGAAAAAAAAAAATATTTTTTTCCCCAAAGGATTTTCTCATAAGGAGCTAGGGATGACCTTGAAAAAGTTTAGGAAATCTGCTCTTCCTTCCACCCCTCCTCATTCCCACCCAACTCGGCAGACACTCCCCTCTTCCTCCACGTTCAGCATTGCCAGGGCTTTGGGGAGGGGTGTAGCATTTGCCTGATGATTAATAGATCCGTATTTGAAAATCATGGCAGCACACCCTGGCTGGGGTCTTGCCTGCTGTTGCACCCTTGACCAATTCCCTTGAGGTCAGGGGGAACCCACTCCCTCGGGCAGCCAGCCCTCTCTTCCATCCCCTCATCTCCTTCAGGGGTGCATTACCTCTCCTGGGGCAGACTCTCCCCACCAACCCATCCTGCTCACACCACAATGGGCGTATCAGAGAAGACCGAGCTGACCGACTCTGGATCCGACATCCTCCGCTGGCCCTTGCCTGTCGCCTCGGGCACTGGCAGGGTGTTGCCTGGCTTGAGCTTGCCATTTTGACCCTGGCCAGGTCCAGCAGGTTCCAGGAAGGCCACTCGCCGATCAAAACCATCATCCTTGTCCCCGCCAGCCATCGGGTCGTGGTTGGGTGTGGTACTAAGCATGGACGAGCTGAGGCTGTCTCCTTGATGGCTGGAGGGCTTCTCGACACCCCGGCACCAGCAGCGACAAGGGGTGAGGTACAGGTATATGAGGACCAGGACCACGCTGAGGATACAGCCCACTAGGGTGGTATAGGCAGTGTTGAGGGTGTCATGGTGTCCATGCAAGGTGTAATTGTGCACTTTCAACTCCACAGACAGTGTCTCATTGAAAGCCTCCCCCATGGCGTAGCAGGTATATACACCCCCATCCTCGACCTGCACCTGCCGGAAATGAAGACTGCCATCCTTGGACACTGTCACCGTGCTGTTGGCCATCTCATCCGGCACCCGTTCATTGCTCGATGTCACCCACACTTTGGTCATCCCCTGCTGCTTGGTGTCACACTTGATGGTCAAGGACTCGCCCAAGTGTGCCTCCCAGGCACGCTCCTTGTACTCGCTGCAATTGAGGAAACTCAGGTTGAAGACATTGTGCAGCTTCTTGGATTTCATGCAGTACAGATCCTCCTGAAAGTCCATCACAGAGCTCAGCTGCCGGTACTGCCAGTGAGAGAAGAGCTGGTAGAGCTCACAGTCGCAGTTCAGGGGGTTGTTGTGCAGGTACAGCCCGTTCTTGATCCACGCGGGCAGCTTCTGCAGGTCAGGCAATGGTAAGAGGTTTAGCTTGTTGGAGGAGAGATCCAGGAGGGTTAGCTTGGGTAGCTTGGCGCCTTCCTTGACCAGTTCCAGGGGGAAGCGGGAGATCTGGTTCTGGCTCAAGTAGAGTTTCTGCAGCTGGACCATGTCGTCGAAGGCGCAGCGGTCCACTGCCATGATGTGGTTATTATAAAGCAGCAGCACCTCCAGCGCCTGCAGTTCACTGAACAGGAACTCGTCTAGAGTACGCAGCTGGTTGGAGGAGAGGTCCAGGTAGCGCAGGTTGGGTACTGGGGTAAAGGCCTCGGAGGAGATGAAGTTCAGGTGGTTGTGGCTCAGCAGCAGGGAATGCAGGTGGGTCAGGCGCGTGGGGGTCCACTCTGCCCGAAGGCGGCTCAGGTTGTTGTGGCTGAGGTCTAGTAGAGCGGTGTAGCTGGGCAAGGAGTGGGGCACGTTGGGCAGCTGCTGCTTGGAGCAGCTGAGGATGTTGCTGGCACACAGGCAGGCGGCAGGACAGCTAACCACTGGACGGCCAGTTCTGGCCACCTCAAAGAGGAGCAGGAACAAGGACAGCAGCAGGAGCCAGAGGCCTGGCAGGTCACGCTGGGGTTGCATAGTGTCACTGGGGAGGGCAAGGAAGGCCGCCAGGAAGATCTGGGAGGGAGTCACCCGGGCATGTTCTGGTGGAGTAAGAAAGGGCCACTTTCACTACAGGCTTAAGGCAGAAGGGATGGGTCAGTGAGCACCAGGGCCTCTGGAGGGCAGGGCAGGGTGGCCCGCCCTCCCTTATTTCCCCCCTCCCTCCCCTCTACCAGAGAAAGGCAGAGATGTTGGGTAGTTCCCAGGCACAGTGCAGGCGATGGGCCCAAAATACCGGGGCCGGGGAGGTGGATACGCGGGCCTCCTGGGCTGGGGCCTGGGGTCACAGCGGCACAGGATGGGGTTCTGCGGAGCTGTCAGGGACTGCTGGGACCTCCGGGGCTCGGGGGCCGGGTTTGGAGGCGGGGTCCGCGGGCCTCAGAGGAGGAGCCGCGGGAAGGTCAACGGGGCCCCCCTCTGGGTAGGGCGCGTCCTGTCGGGGCGGCGGGTCCCCGGGGCCTGTCGGGCGGGCTTCCCCCGGGACTTGAGGTCACTGCACCTGCTCGAAGAGGTCGCGTCTCAGCCCATGGTCGGTCCGGGAGCTCCGTCGCGGCCTCCCGCGGCAGCGCCTCACCCGCCGGCCTGTCGCGGCGCCCGCCTTACGCAGGGGCCCGCGCCCGGCACCATCTCCGCCCGGCCGCGCGCCGGGCCCCGCTGCGCTCCCCGGCGCCGCCGCCCGGCCCGCTGCGCCCACCGGAGACCCCCCGCCGCCGCCGCAGCCCCGGGGTCCGCGGGGCGGGCGTGGAGCCGCGCGGGAGCGGGAGGCGCCGGGAGCCGAAGGGAGGGAGCCGCGTGGGGGCCGCGAGCACCGCGCGCGCGCCCGTCGCCGCCCCGGAGCCTGGGCGCGTGCGCGCGGCGGGGGCGGGGCGCACGTGCGTGTGTTTGTGTCGGGCCGGCGGGCGGCGGCGCGGGGCCTGCGCCCCGGGACGGGCCGGGACCTGTCCGGGGAGCCCCCCGGCGGCCGAGCCCACCTGCCTCCCCGCCTGAGAGCCCCCCAGCCCCGCGCGCCCTCCAGGCCCCCGGCCCCTGCCCAGTACCCTCCCTGATGCGCTCTGGAAAGGGAGGGCTGGCAAGTGGACGCGGTGTAACCCACCCGGGGGCAGGAAGGCTTTTGATTTTGCAAATGAAAGCAATCTGCCCCGGCTCCCACCTGCCAGTGTCGGCGGGAAATTCACGAGTGCATTCTGAGGGGTCCCCACCCCTCTCCAGATCTGTGAAGTCCCCAAATTTTGAGGAGACCTCTAAGTAGCGCGGTGAAGTCCAGAGGTTGGCGGGCGGTGCTTTGTTGTTGTTGTTTTCTTTCTTTGTAGTTTTTGATGCTGCTAAGCCAGGGCCCCTGGGATACAGCAACACACCAGCAGTGGGCTGGGCAGGAGGAGGGAGGGATTGTTGGTGCAGGTCCGAACCCCGGGTCCGACTTCTCCAAACTCCACCCCACACACATACAGGGACTCAGTACAAGCCAGGGGCTAGTTTCCATTCTTGAAAACTGCAAAACTCTGCCCAACCTGGGGGAAATCGTTTATCCATGAACATGGCTACTTGCCTCTTCCTGAACCAGGACCATCTCTTCCCCTCCAGGAATGTAACAGTTCCAGGATGGTTTCTCAATAACCTAATCCTCAAGATGAAGGGGGTGTGGGGGGGGGGTGTGTGTGTGTTCTTTAGGGCGGTCCCTGAAACACTTAAACTGCTAACCAGTGTGTGTTGTTGGGGGTAATGCCTCAGGAGGGGGTTTTGGGAGAAAAACATAAACCTTATAATTCAAAACTTGAGCTATTTGTGGGATGGTAGACCCTGAGGGAGAAATTACTTTTTTATTCTTTCTAGTCTCCTACAACAGCAAGAGCAAGACTGAAATTAATGTCTCAATACATTAACCTGCTAAGAGTTTTAAAAAGAAAGAATTTATATCTGTCACATATGTTTTACCATGAACTTAAGTGAATATATTATCTCTTCAAGGGGTATTAGCATGTTAACCTTATTCATTGTGTGAAAAGTTCTTTCTTCTGTTCATTTCAAGCATCAGTGATAAGATGGGGAGGGTATTCAGGGAGTGGAAAATCCTGAAATCACATTGTGTAAGTCAGTTCTCTTGCTGCATAATAATTATCCTAAAACTTAGAGGTTTAATACAACGATAGACATTTATTAACTTTCACAGTTTCTGTTGGTGGGAGATTCAAGAGTGGCTTGGCAGGAAATTCTGGCTTGCAGATCTTTCATGCAGATGCAATCATATGTCATCGGAAGGCTTGACTGTCACCAGAGAGTCAGCTTCCTCATGGCTCACTCACAGCTCACGCATGGCTGGCTGTTGGCAGGAGACCTTAGCTCTTCTCCAGAAAGGCTTCTCCATGAGACTGATGGAGTGTCCTCACAGCATGGTGGTTGACTTTCCTCAGGACAAGAGCTCCAGGAGACACAGAGGCTGAAGACACTGTGACCTGGTTCTCTGAGGTCACTCCTATCATATTCTTCACTTTGGTCAATTTGACCAACCTTGATTCAATAAGCTGACCTCCCAAATGCATGACTACCAGGAGGAGAGGATCACTAGGAGCCATCTTTGAGGCTGGTATCACATACATCATCTTTGAAATCACATCTATTTTTTGTTTGAAACACGTACAGGTACATAAAATAGTCCAGTGAACTCCCCTATAGTCATCACCCATATTCAGTAATTACCAAGGAAATGCCATCATTTTATTTTGTACAAGTATCCCTGAGAAACGTATACATTTTTCCTCTGCCCCTAACCCCCTATCCTATACGAACTTTCCTTAGACCCTGCTCTCTTTTTCTCTCCCTTTCCCTCTGCAATGTTTAAGGGAGAGAGAAGAGACAGATGTAAAGGAAGAAGACTCCTTATCCTGGCTATCAGCGACAAGTATGGGTGTCTGCAATTTGAAAAGGTTACCACAGATATGGTCCTCAGTAAATCCCTTTATTTATTTATTTATTTATTTATTTATCAAAAGATTTGTTTGTTTGTGCAAGCACTGGGTATAGTGAGAAGCGCGGGAGGGTGAGAGAATTCACCAGAGCCAGAGCAGGGAGCAGAGCAGGCAGACTGACGAAGTACACTGCTGAGGGGAGCAGCGGGCGGCAGGAGAGGTCTGCGCGCCATGTGGGACCCTCCTCTGGTGGCCGGGGAGCAGCCGGGGATCCAACCAGCGCTGCAGAGGCTGCGGGCAGCTTCGCAACCCAGTGCTCAACCACTACGCCACGGGGGAGGCCCAGTAAATCCCTTTTTTAAAGCTCACCCAGAAGGAGCTCTGCCATTCTCAAATTTTCGTTTGTATCCAGACCACATAAGGAATCTTGTTGATACAAAGATTCTGAATATGTAGGTCTAGGACGGGGCTTGAGAATCTGCATTTCTTGCAAGTTAATCAGGCCATGCAGACCTGGCTGGTCTACGGGCCACACTTTGAGTAGCAAGATGTGCTTAAAGTAGCAAGAGCTGTGCTATCCAAATTGGTAGCCACTAGCTACTTGTGACCATTTCAATTAATTAAAATAACCTTATAACTCACTTCCTCAGTTTCCCCAGCCACAGTTTATATGCTCAATAACCACATGTGGCTAGCCACCCTATTGAATGCAATCGTGGAAAGTTTGGTTGAATGGCACTGATGAGAGAACTCACTCATGATCGCTCTTACAGTTGCTCTTTAGACCAGAATAGGTATCTATTAATGTACAACAAAAAAGAGGGCCTTGGCAGAATAAATAGCAACAGGCTATTTATAGTAGGTATTTATTTCCTCTTGCTGCAATGGATCAACCCTGTGTTCTAAATACCATCTGAAAGATTGTTTGGTCAGCTGAGCATTTTAACAAGAGAGGTTGGCTCTGTCCACCCGGTTATGAGACAGGACAAATTGCTTTTCTCCATAGCAGAATTATTTTTTCCTTTCTCAATAACTGGTAGAATTACTTAGAATTAGAATCAGAGCTGGAGAATGCTGAAGGAAGTTACTCTATTGAAAGCTAACTTTTCACTCTTTTTTAAAGACTCCATGAAGCTGACCACTGCTTTTTGTTTTTGTTATTTAGGACAATGTAGTCTAATTTTCTGTGCACACTTAAGTGTTCCTTTTTGTGATTATAGAACTTCTCACCTACTATTTTATCTGTTTACATATCTGTTTTCCCAATAGACTCCTTGGGTTTGCCTAGCTTTGGTTCCTAATGGGCATTCCACATATGTATGTTGAATTAATTCATTAATAATTGTCTTAAATTAGCATGTTATTGTCTGTTAGCCTCAATGCCTAGTGTAGGAGAAAGAATAGAGCCTAAGGCCTCCCCATTGGCGTGGCGATTGAGCGCTGGGTTGCGAAGCTGCCCGCAGCCTCTACAGTGCTGGTTCGATCCCAGACCACTGGGCGAGGGTCCCACATGGCGCACAGACCTCTCCTGCCGCCCGCTGCTTCCCTCAGCAGTGTACTTCATCACTCTGCCTGCTCTGCTCTCCGCTCTGGCTCTGGTGAATTCTCTCACCCTCCACGCCTCTGACTGTACCCAGTGCTTGTATAAATAAATAAATAAATTTAAAAAAAAGAAGAGAGCCTAGCATTTAGTTAAGTCACAGCTGTATACTGGCTGTGTGACTTGGGGTATTTCCCTTTGTTCTGCCAAATCTAGTTCTGTTATTTGTAAAATAGGAACAGTAGCACTTGAGCTTACTTTAGAGGGCTAATTGGAGATCAAACGAGCTAATAGTTATGAAAGTAAGTCATGGCTTATAATTATTATTTTTAAAAAAAATAACCCTCATGTCTCCATGACAGTTTGATCCCCTGGTTTTGATATCAACATGTATACAGATCACCTTGCACAACTGCCTGCCTTGTTCCCACATTCTAGAGAATTATCTGGACCAGTCACTCATTTTCAAACACTCTCTCTGGTCTAACTATCTGTTACCATCTAAAAATATTTACAAAATTTAAATAACATTTGTAAAAGTTTGTTTTAAATATCCTTACGGGCCTCCCCGGTGGCGCAGCGGTTGAGCGCTGGGTTGCAAAGCTGCCCGCAGCCTCTGCAGCGCCGGTTCAATCCCCGGCTGCTCCCCGGCCACCGGAGGAGGATCCCACATGGTGCGCAGACCTCTCCTGCTACCCGCTGCTCCCCTCAGCAGTGTACTTTTGTCCTTCTGCCTGCTCTGCTCCCCGCTCTGGCTCTGGTGAATTATCTCACCCTCCCGCACTTCTGACTGTACCCAGTGCTTGAATAAATAAATAAATAAATAAATAAATAAAACTTAAATAAATAAATATTCTTGCATTTTGTGGAGCTTGGTAGTTCTTGGAATTTTCTCTAAAATGAGACTATTTCTGGGAGAGGTAGCAATAAAGATGAGCCCTTCCCATTGGGATGAGCCCTAACTGTATCGAGCAGTTCACCCATATTTCCATTTTTGGTTTGTCTCTAAATATATTCAATCTGGAGGGTTCCTGTTGTCATGTCCTTACCCAACTTTCACTCATTTCACAGATACCTTAAACTTTTAACTTGCGCTTTAGCATGCTCCAGGCAAATATTTCCTCTTTTGG